CGAATTAACGAAGCATTTATACTTACAAGTGAAGACGTTTGAGAAAACGTTTAGGGAGATGTGTCTGAAGCCATGGGTGTGGCCACGGCCTTAAACGTTTTAAGTCTGGTCTAAAAACCGAACACCGGTAACTCTGAATCGAACCTGTATGTGTATAGCTCCTTCGTTTTCGGGTTTTAGATTTTTCAAAAATCGGCGAACGCCAATATAACTGAGAAGCGCGAGATCTGTTCGAAATGTTTCGAATATTCTTGTACACCAACTTGTCTCGTTCAAGACGCTAAAATCGTACAGCCGAAGGCCCTCGCTAAATGTTCAACTTTGATGTCCGTGATGTCTTATACTTTCTAGTGCTGGTGACATTGGCAAGCTCGGCAGGCTTGCAAAGGCGGAGCGACAGCAAATCGCTTGGGACGCAAGCAGCGGTTCATGTTTGCAAGCAGTAAAAGGGTCGATACTATGTGGAGAGCAAGTCACCTGCTTTTTGCGCAGGAATTGCGGTGACGTCAGAATGGCGCTGAGTTCTGGTTGGCTTAGATTGAAAGATAGTGGGTAGACCTGAAGGCATCTAGAGTCAGTTACAGGTTAAGAAAAGTTTTCGAGGGAAAGGAAGGATGGGGAAGTAGACTAACCTTCCTTTTTCTGAAAATTTTTTCTTAACCTCTAACTGACTTTATAGATGCCTTGTGGGCTACCCATTATTTTTTTTTTCGATCAGCCAATAACAGCTCAGCATTCTGAGATCATCGCAAACCCTGTGCAAGAAACATACGAACTCGCTCTCCGCATTAACTTCTCAGTGGCTAAAAAGAAAAACACACACACACACAAAAAAAAACGTCAAGCGTGCGCTTACTTTTTTTTTTTTTTTTGCGAGAGCGAGCGGACGAACATGACGTTTTTTTGTCTTTAGGCGGTAGTTTCCACGCGCTTTTTAGCGTTCAAGAAGTTCCAGAAAATTTGAGCTTTCCCTGAAAAACGATTTTTACACCAACGCGCAGTTTAGAAACAAGTCCGCGTCTGCCCACTGCAGGCGTCTGCACTGCGCGTGCGCAGAAACGAAATCAGCGCAAGATGAGGAGTCCGCGCATGCGATCGTGTCAACAGCAGCTCGCATTCATGCATAAATTACAGGGATAGATCACTGAGCTTTAGCCAACGTTACTAGATTATCTAAGTCAGTGGTTTTCAAATGGGGGTCCGCGGACCTTTTGGGGTCCGCAAAGGCATTCTAGAGGTCCGCGAAGCCCAGCCTCATCAGTCAAGCTCGGCAATAAAAGTTGCATTTTTTCAGGTCGAGAAGAAATGTTTAGGTTTTCGGACGAGTTTTCTCGTGTGTCTGTCAATAAGAGAGGTCTACTTCATATTAGCCTTTAGTTATGTACATTTATCAAATCATTAATATATGTAACCTGTACCTTTCCTCTCCTGTCACCACGAACGGGGCTCTCCATCATCTCAGCCGATCCACAAGGGGTACGCGAAACATCGATTGTTGACAGCCATCGATCTAAGTTATGTAAATTCCTTTGCATCTATTAGGATTTCAAATCAATCGAACGTGCCTGAAAATGCATTCCACGCAAAACGCTTCACAAACGCGACTTTAATTTCTCTGCAGCCGATTGATTTCAGCGTCGTACTCGTCGGAGACCGCCAGAGTTTTGCTAAGTCCGATCGATGTTCAACGGTACAGCCCGCCAAACCAACCTTGAAAACTTACCCGTCCACATAGAGCGCACAAATGTAGTCATGCCAAAAACTAAAAATATATCAAGAGCTTGAGCGACTCACCGGGAATTAACCCTAGTTGGGCCTCCGCACCGCTGTTAAGCGTACTTCTCCACTGAGCACCGACGCACGACAGAGAAGCCTACTCATCCTCTCCCCCTATTATTTTTTTCGCATTTTTGGTTGATAATTGAATTTCGAGCTCGCATTTACCGACTTTAATTTTGCAGTGGGAACCGCCGAAAGCGTGCTGACAAAGTATACCTAGAGGCGCGCTTCGTAGCGTCAGTTGTAGCCACCGAGAGGACGAAAACGACGGGGAGGAGTTTCGGTTGTCCCGGTTCCCAGCGCGAGCTCCTTTCAACCTTCGATAATAACGCCTCAGCGTCTCGTCGTGAGCTTCGAGCGTGCACGCGCAGCCAAAGCACGACGGAAGGCAACGGACGCATGCTGGAGGCCGGGCGTTCAAAAGAGACGCCGTGCCGCTCTCGCCCTATTAGTGATCACAATCGGCGTAATAAACAAGCACCGTGGTAACAACGCGGCTCTATCCTCTACACCACCTCTTCCCAAAGGTTTTCTTCTTGTTTTGTGGTTGTCGTCTTTGAATCGCGGGTCTGGTATAAGAGTAGAACTGCGCTAAATTACTCTGTTTGAACGAATACTTGCGCAAGGGGAACGGGTTCCAAAGCCCAGCGTTCGCGAACCACGACGCTGGCATAAGGAGCGCAGGGATTGCGTCAGGAGCCACGTCGCAAATGAGGACGCAGCCCGAAATTCCCCGACCAAGTTTAGTATAAGTTTAATGCGTCTCATATTCAATGGATTAGAGAGCTCATATGACGTATTTAGGTATAGTTCTATATTCGCGAAATTTAACCCGTCAAACGGGGGTACTGCATAAATTAGATTATAATAGTTGTATCGTTTGCTTTTCTTTCTTTCTTTTTTTTTTCTTTTTTTTTTTATTGTGGCGAGTTAAATGTTAGGAGGCCTGAACTATAGCCCGAGCTGACAGTTGTGAACAAAAAAAAAAAAAAAAAAAGTGGGACATGAGATAAAAGAGCGGGATGAAATTGCGAATGTGAAAAGGAATAAATGAGTAGCCTTCGAAATAACTTGTCCTGTTGGAGTGACGTTAACTGGGGGACTCTCTGTGAAAAGAAATTTCTGGAGCAAATTGGTTAGGTGGGCTAGTTACTTCATAGTCTTTAAAAAGTAATGGCGGCGAAAGCACAGACAAGGGCGAAGATGTGAACGAACACAAGGCACCATTTCTGGTGGCTCCCATTGTATATTCAGAGCACTTCTATGCACCCAACACCTTGTCACTGGAAAAACGGTGCGTTCAAATGCGTGCAAACGAAACACCAATTTCGGTTGTACTGTGTACTACTCACAAACTCAGGATGAGACAGATTTCGTACTGTTCCACGTTAAACATATATCTGTATTGCATTATGCTTGCCAAATATATATCTTTATTAACGTTTACATATCAGTCATATCGTCAATGTAGCACACTAGTGATAATGCGTATTTTGGTCGAGTGATGGATGTTGAGGTGTCTCAAGCATTGGTCATTCGTACGCCATGTTATGTCGTTCTTAAAACAGACGTGTCAGGCTGGAAATCTTGGATTTTTCTTTGCCTCACAACAGTGTGACAGTGCTCGTATTAACCTGATGACGTTTCGAAACGTAACGCTTATTTTGTTCAATAAAATCGTCGCAATTTCTTAGACTTCCTTTTTTTTTTTTTCTGTAAACCCGAACGTGGGGATAACAAATGTCACTTCCAAAATAATCAAGCACTTTTTTTTTTCTTTTTTGCAAAGAAAAATGCATTTTGGGGTGCATTCTTTATAATATAACGTCCGAGTTTTATGTTTGCACACATTTATTGGAAAACTTCTAGTAACTACATATACTATATTTACTTTGGCACCCGAAGTATCCAGCAGTCGGAATAGCAGCCACCTCATATAAAATCTGCAGCATTCTAAAGTTAAAAGGAATACAAAAATAACGAAATCTTTCTATATACATATATATGTATATGTAGAAACTATTACAAAACATGACTCAAGAAATTTCCGGGTATCAGGAACACTAGCTTCTGTTTTTTGCAGGTTTCAGTTATAATTAGCGAGTCTTAAAGGGGCACTAAAGCGGATTAAAAGGTTGTCTTTTTATGGTGAAATTTTTTTTTAAAGGTCTGTAGATTGAGTTTGCGCCATTTAAAGGCAATTTCGAGATCAACTTTAGTGCCCCTTCAAAAGTTTCGCGCGGGCGAACAGGAACTAACACGTCCTTCCGCGAAACATTCGGCGGGGGTGTCTGCGTCGGGATCAACAGGTTGAGGCGCTCACCTTCAAAGCGTCGTCTGCGGGTCCCGTGCGCTCACCTGCGAGACGCAATCGAGCCAAAGGTGCGCGACCTCGCCAGGCACGGACGGACAGGCAGAGAGTTCCCTTTCTCACGACGCAAGCATCCGAAAGGGTGGCGCAAAGGTGGCACCGAGTATCGCTACACCTGACGAGTCGTCCATCGTGCACCGCACACAACTTTGCGCTCAGCCGTCGCTATCCATTGCGGACGGAGAAACTTTGCGCAGCTACACCGAAAACGAAAACGGACCGCTCCGATATCCAACAGCGGCATCGAGTAAGCGAGAGCGCTCAGGTTGGGGGACCCGGGGGAGGTTCGGGCGCAAAAAATCACGTGGTGCACTCCAAGTTTTCTCAGGTATCCGGTAGATGGCGATAGATGCGCAAAAATTTCGCTAGTGTGCCAAGCTTTGTGAGTGCTCCCAACTGTTCGATCGGGCTAACGTGTTTTAGGGAGGCGAAAGCGGCAATCCAAGCACGTAGCCAGGCGGGGGGGGGGGGATGGGGCATGGGACCCGGGTTGCCTCCCCACCCCCCGAAAACTTCCATTCTGCTAGGACCTCCTCTCCCCCCTCCCCCTCATACAACATTTTGTCATAAAGCCTGCCCCCCCCCCCCCCCCCCCTGCCCGGAACAAAATCCTTGCTACGTGCCTGGGGAAATCGTCTGCAAGTGTACCTGCAGATTCGTCTTTCCGCCCGCTGTCCTCCTCGCCAAGGAACGATGCGCGCATCCGCATATGCACCTAATTTATTTTGGGCTGGCGGCATCTTACATTAAATTTCAAAAGCTCTCTATGGTTTAAGTTGCTTTCTCTTTTATATCTAGGCTCTCTACACTGCGCTTTTCACGCCTTCTGACGGCGTAGATGCACACCTCTGCCTGCAACCAACATGGCCGCTGTCCTGTGGTCCGTTCGGCATCGATGGTCGATTTTGACGGCATTTTTGTAGACTAAACACGGCGAAAACACGTTGATGGTGCCCTAAACACGAATGCAGCGACCCTAGCCGTGAGTACATAATTTTATTTTGTTTATTCATTATTTGTATGCTCATTCGCCCGCGTCACTTGCGTGTGCACAGGAATGCCCCCGAGCTAGATTCCTATCAATGAAAAACTCCCATATTTCCGTGATTTCTTGGTTGGCGGTAAATGGCGAGCTCCAAGGGACATTATACAAGGTAATTGCTTGAGCCCGCTGTTATACTCGCGTCCGCTTACGACGGACACCGGGCCGGCTCCGACGCGACAGATCGACTGTTTTGAGGAAGCTGCTAGCCGTCGCTGGTTGGTTTCGAAATGCAATCGTGCGCAAAACACGCCTCTACAGCACCTTTTCGCTACCGTATTCAACCTATTAATGCTCGTTTCTTCTCATATGATAGCGATTTCTGTATTTCCAATTTCGTTCTCCCGCTCGGTGAATGTTTTAGTTTGACGGTGAATGTGTGACGACGTCAGAAGAGTGGTCGATGAGTCAACCACGTTTGAATTACAGCCCCGAAGACGCGATGCGCGAAACTCGTGCCAAAAGACTGACCAACGCGCTGTCCTGGCGAGCGTGGATCCTTATGCACGATAACAACCCTATTGTTTTCTGCCAGAGTGGTCATAGTAATTATCGGAACGTAACTCTTTTCTTTGTTCGTTTCCTTTTCGAGCTCGCTGTCTCGCGCGGAGGGGACTTCCGTGCCGATGTCACTCCCACTTTTTCTGCGAGCCGAACGAAACCAAAACGCGCGTTGTTTTTCGTAACATTATGATTGGAGGAAGCGCACAATGCGCATGGAACCAGGTAGGAACTTAGACGATTACTTCCGTGTATCATGTTTAGCCTCCCGGCTAAACGAGAAAATAGATGTCAGCAATATTTGTTTTTTGCTCTAATCGGACGAAACCTTAATGATGTGACACAGGTTAATGCGGAGAGATAGTCGTCTGCTTTTTACGCAGGAGTTCCGGTGACGTCACAATGACGCCGATCTCTGATTGGCTTTAATTGAAAGGATAGTGAATAGACCTCAATGGTCATGTTTTGTGGTCTACCCAGTATTTTTTTTCAATCAGCCAATGAGAGCTCAGTGTTCTGACATCATCACAACCCCTGTGCAAACAGCAGACAAACTTGTGCTCTGCATACCGCATTCGCGTCTTTAAATAGTTATAATACTGAGTTTCCTGTTCCTACACGGCATTTCCACTCAATCTCTTTTTAGTATTGTTCCCTTTCTTATTCTTATTTTAGTGTAATTAATTTATTGCCGTTTACCTTGACCCTTGCTGTCTTGCAGAATGTCTTTTTGTTTACTTGTTTCACTTTATAATTAGGGTTTTGTTTTTTCGGTAATTACACATGAACCCCAAAAATTAACCCTTGAGCCGGTGTTTTTTTGCTTAACAAGTTCTCGTCACCACAATTCAATTTATTTTCCACCTCTGTAGCTTTGTCCAGTGCTGTGGAAGATGTGTGCATGAGTGTGGGATCTTAAAAGAATCAGGTGCTTGTGCAGATGCGTGCCTGTGCTTTTTATTGCACTACAGATGGCTTATACAGACAATTGTGCTGTTCTTAGGGTAATGTTGTGTAATTCTTAGACCAACTTCAGACGGAGCAACTTTTCTCAATGTCTTTTTACATGTGCTGAAACTTAACGTGCTAAGTTTTGCCATTGCTATCATTAAAACTGCAAGTTTTTTGCGCTATTTAGAGACAAATGTAAATGTTAGTAATGTGTCTTCAAGCCTTTAAATCACATTCTGAATGCTAACTAATCTCCCTAAAGCCATTTAGCCGCAAGAATGATCCATAACAAAGCAGAACCAGGTCACATGCCCTCTTGAACTATCATTATCACCACCACAGCCGGTCGTGAGAATATTGCATCCCTGATTGGCATCTGCCGCTTTAAATGTTTTCGAGTTTGTCGTTGGTTTCAGTCGGAACCAATGCGCCAAGAAAGTGAGGGAGAGGAGGAGACGAGAGCACGTGGGGGACGTCAGAATGCTGAGCTCTGATTGAAAAGATTAGGGGGTAGACCTAAAGCTAGATGCCTTTGTCTCCACCGCACTCATTGGAACGCGTTTGAATGCAAAAGCCAAACGTCAGACACCAGTGTTCCACATTCTATCATGTTCGAAGACTGCAGAGGAGACAAAAGCAGCTCTTGTCTCAGCTGCTTTCTCATTCAAACGCGTTCAAATGCGAAAGCTAATGTGGAACTCTGGCTTTCTGCATTCTAATGCATTCGACGAGTGCATTGGAGCTAGAGGCAGCTAGCTTTAGGTCTACCCACAAATCTTTCTAATCGTAGCTCGTCATTCTAACGTCTCCGCTCACTGTCGCATCCTCCTCTTCCTCACTTTCTTGGCGCATCCCCCACCTCTCTTTTCACAGGGTGAGCATAAGAACAGCTTCTCAGCAACCCCGGAATTGCAGGAAAATTTCTCCGTCTGAAGTGGGACCTTATGCCTAACGTGTGCATTGTTTGCCTGTGTCTAGCGCACACAAGAATGACTTTGGTCTTTCAATGCCTTCTAGATGTCGCTGGCAGCTGTAGCCTGGGTCGGGCTGGCCGTAGTTTTGTTCTGGTCAACATTTGGCTTCTGGGCTTGTCTCCTCCTTCCCCTCTGCATTTTCATAACTCTCTTAGGGTAAGCTGTAGTAGTTCTGTTCTTTTGTTTCTTCTTTGTGCCTTCTCAAAAGGGAGCACAACCCTGTGCTCAACATACATAGGTTAGGTGTAGAAACTTACCACTATACTCTGTTTCACCTTATGATGGAGCACGGATGACGATACGAGCTATCGAAGCCAGTCCAGTGCCATGTGAGTGTCACGTGACCTTCAGGAAGGTGCAGCGAGACGCAGGGGACGTAGTCATGTGACATGTTCACAGTGCCGGTTTGGCTGGGATGGCTTGTATCATCCATTACAGTTCATCAATAGGAGAACTGGAGTATAGAGTCCCTGACAGTGCATGAAAAAACCAGCCATATCATATCTTGATCTTACTGTTGCACAGCATTCCTTCGTGCTTAGATCACTTGTTGTATAAGTTACTTCTATTCTATTGTTTATTTAAAAAAAAAAAAAAGAGAGTACCGTAAAATCTTGAGAGATAGCCTACCTAACATCAAGAGCAAATTAGCTGAAAAAATGGAGTGGGCTAACTTTCGGTGTACAATCGAGAAAAGTTTGAAAAAATTGCTATTTTTAGGTCGTGTCCCTTCCAAGCTTGTGAGGGCGGCGAGGGGCAACAAAGCTAAGATGACTGTACTTCCCAGTCAGCAATGTTCACTTATATTCCGCCATAGCGAACTAGCTGCATTTACGCTGTGGTCATCATTGATCCCAACACTACTATTACTAGGAGTGGGCTATCTTTCGGTGTTTAAAGAAACTTACCGTAAAATACCGAAGAAGCGCCCACCCCCATTTTATTGAAAAACGTTTAAAACCAACTATGGGCGCTTTTTAGGTCCATGCGCCAAGATCAAGATGGCAGCCGATGAAGAGCCTCATAGAGCCGTGGAAACAGAGAAAGCAACCAGCCTGGCTCTTTTATTTCGGTTGTACAGATGATTGGTAGACGTCATTATTCACTCGTTATCTCTAAATCCGTCAAAAGACTCTTCGGAATTACTGCAAAAGGCAAGGTCTACGCACTCATCGCTGACACCTTCGGGATTGGAGCAAGCTGCTGGTGCTCCAATGCCCGCAAGTCCGTTGTGCAGGTAGCCATCCTCGCTACCGTCCAGCGCGGCACTGATGCCGCACGCCTTGAAAGATCAGGCGATCATGTCTTCGGGCACGGCTGCCCAGGCCCTTGACACGAAGTTGAGGACGTCCTACCTCAAAGGCTTCCAGAGGTTCCCTTTTGGTGTCTTGTCCCCCTTCCGCATGAACTCCGCCCATGACGTACGAAGCGAGTCCTTAAACGGCTTGTTCCAATACACGTCCGCAGGCTGTAGAATTCAAGTGCAGCCTCCTGGAATGTGCACGATGTCCGTAGCGGAGGCTTCTGCAGTGTTCATGACCACCCTCGTCTTGTGTATCGGCGCTTGGTCGGTCACTAGCAAGCGGCGAACGTCGTCGATGTGGGGCCCCAAGCACGGCTGAGCCATTCCAGACATATGTCGATTGTCATCAACCATTTTCGGACGACGTTAAGCGAACGGTCGCTGCAAAAACGGAAACAGGACAAAAGTACAGTTACGCAACTGACGGAGTCAAACAATGTGCAGCCGTGCCGTGCCTACTGCTATTACTTCGGTTGGTCGTGTTCCAGAAGTTACTAATCAGACCCTTGATAACAGTTTTGAGTCGTGGCAAGCCGGAAAACTCGGATCCAATCGAGCACATTGAACACGGCCTGCCTGCTCAGGGCGCCGAGGGCATATTCGTCTGTCGGACCCACGCCTCACGAGTTACGTCATAGCATTAGTGCAGTCACCCTCAGTTACTCTGGCAGAAGTTCTGTGTCTGCCAGAGCGCAGTTCTGCGTCTGCGCTTGGCGGTCGCGATTCGGCGTTTACAAACTTTCGTCTCTCGTGACTCTCGGCATGCTTTCCTCTTTTGTCAGGAAGTGCGTCAACAGCGTACTGGTCTTAACAAAGCGAAGCAGAACACGGTTACGGTGGTCGCAAATTTGAATATCATGAGCGTCAAACTTTACAAACTTGTTGCTCTTGCCATGCTTTCGTCTTTCGAAGGAAATGCGCCAAACTTACTTGGTATGCGGAGCGCCATGAACACACGGGCAGGGATCCTCCCTGTGGGTTCCTTGAGTACGACAAATGCCGGAAGTTTTGCCCCCGACGCGCGAGCTGCCGGTGCGATGGTGAAGCCCCGACGGGCGCAGCCGGTGTTGGCGATCCGGATGCTGTTTTCACCAGCAACATTATTGGTGCAGGTCGCTGGGAATTGTCCGTTCTGACCATGGTCTGGTCCATATTGCAGATGTTGAATGGCGTGTAGTCGTGCCGTGCTCGCAAAGTAGCAATTGTAGAGCGGAATGCAGTGACAGCTTCGCCGCAGTCGGCAGGGGCCTTCTGGCTGTCGTTGGTCGCCGTACGCATAGCCACCGCAAATCGCTGCTTCCATCGCTTGATATACTGTGATGACGCTTTGAAGTTGCCAAGATTTAGACTCTCGGCTATCCTTAGTGCCTCGTCTGCCAGGAGCCGGTTGCTGACGGCCCGGCCGGCATCTCGTTCCCTTCGAAAGTATTCAAACAGTTTGTCGTCCACCTCCTCACTGAAGACGGGCACCCCATTCGTGAATTTCTTCATCTTCTGCTTTCCGTAGTTAAGTTGCTTCAGGGTTTCGTACTTAGAGTCCCACTCACGGATTCGCTTCCTGTCGATTTTGAAATGACGAGAGGTGCCGCTGACATTGCCTCCAGACGCCCTATGCAAGTTGACGACTTTGATCTTTTTGGAGACTGTGTAGGAGTGCATCCTGTGCTGGTTGCTTGCCAACTTAGTGACCAACGGCAATCGGGAAGCACGAAGCATTTATCAAGGTGTATTTTACAAAATGCTGGGACGAACTGGCTGTAATCTACACTCCTATTGGTCCTGTCGTTGCTACCCCCGGATTGTGCAGACCACACAATGCTGCAGTAATGTGAAGGACAAAGTGCCCGGAGCTACCTCGGTAGCCCAATTCTACGGTAATTGGTCTCCGGGCCGAGTCCACCGCAGCAACCTTCGGCAGGGTGCCTGCTGCGGTGGCTGCCGGGAACGCCGGCGCTTCCGAGGATATGGGCGCTTGATTTGTACTTGCCCAAATTTTTGAGTTTCGAAAATGTTAATAGTGGGTGCTTGTATGGGTATGTGTGCTTCTTCTGTATTTTACGGTAGCAAATCAAGCCAAAAATAGGGGCGGGCTATCTTTTGGGGGTGGGGCATCTCGGGATTTTACGGTATACTTTATTTTGAATTAATCAGTATTTAATGGAGGCTTATTGCAGGGCAGGTGCCTAACTAAGATTACGGTTGCACATCAAAAGCTCCCTAGGTCGTCTGAATTAGGCATCAGTCCTTTACTTGGGCATGGCAAATGCCTTTCATTCATTTGCACATGAACGAGAGAAATTTGCTTTATTTACTCTGAATTAAGCGGTAATTATTTCTGACTCAGCACATCATGGAGATAATTTATTTCACAAAATTAAGTACAGACAAATAACATCTTAAGGACAGCCAGTCCTTTTCAGTAGTGTCCTTAACATAAAAATGAGGCTAGTCTACGAGCTTGAACCTATAGCTGTTCTCTCTGCCTTTCTTTAGGTGTCTACCTTGGTTTTGTAGGATCTGCGTGATGGACTGCATTTTTGCAGTAAGGAGAACTTGTATTGCCAGGTCCTCTTTTTCGAAAACTTAAATACTTTTCTTGTAAACACCAACTAAAAGAAACGTTTTGAAGTCTTGTTTGTTCCCCTTGATGCCTCTATTAGAAAACATGTCAGATCGAAGCTGAAATTCCCGATGTTGCATATTGTTTCCGTATATTTATATGGATTATATTCTCCTGGGAACTTATGTGCTGCATGCCTGGGAACTAAATTGGAACTCAGCATTTTGGCAGTGTTTCAGTAGGCTGCAGATTCTCTAGAGATTGTTTGTACACAATTTATAAAAAGTTTGGGCAGTGTTTATTTACTTTCATAATATTGGTGCTTTCTTTTGTCTTTATGAGCATGAAACCTCATAATAGGCAATTGCTGTAGAAAAATATCTGCTGACAAATATAGAAATCGCTCTTCCTTCATTAACTGCAGCCTGTCCTTATGTGCCTTACATAAAACTGTCAGTGAATTAAGTTCTGTTGGAAGAACAGTTGTACAGATAATTAAGTATTCATAGGCAGTTTTCACTCAGGCTGAGAGGCAGCTAGCTGTTCCTTTAAATTAGCAAGTATAGCAGAGCCAGCATTTCTGTGTTTTGAAAAGGTTTCTCAGTTTCCTTACCGACGCTCATATTTATCTGCATTTCTGGACTAATACCGAAAAGTCAGTGGCCACGCTATTGCCGATTAGCTGTGGTCACTAACAATGACTTTTGGCTGAAAGTTGATTTATTCTTGATGGTCACTTAATTTGGCTAAAGCATAGAGAGTGCTCAAGTTTCTTCTGCATGTTTTGGTCCTTTTAATTAGGTATTAATATGTACCATAGGTATGTTATTTAAGGTCGTCTAAATTTTCCAGAAGGTAATGGTCATAATCTCTAATGTGCAGTAGGATACACATGCAATCACTGATTCCCAATTATTCCATAAGACATCAATGCTGACATGCAGCTCAGAACTAATGCCATGTTTATACCTAGGCATGAAAACCTCAGGTTTCATGTTGCCTTAGTTCTCACGATTATGGGGGATCAGCGTTTGCACTTTTTGCAGTGTAGTATATGTTTTATCTATACTTTGGGGTTATGAATATCTTGCCCACCGTAATATCCTGTGATATAGCCCAGCTGAAAAGGAGAAAAAATTGGGTGAGAATAAGGAGTGGGCTAACTTTTGGTTTGCAATCAAGAAAAGTTTAAAAAATGCTATTTTTAGGTTGTGTGTCTCTGTCAAACTTGTCTTCACGGCGAGGGGCAATGAAGCAAAAATGACTGTACTTCCTAGTCAGCAATGCTCGCTTATATACCGCCAAAGCTAACTAGGCGCATTTATGCCAAGGTCATCATTGATCCGATTGCTACGATTACTAGGCTATCTTTCGGTGTTTAAAAGTAAGTAGCAAATCAAGCCAAAAAAATAGTGGTGGATTACCTTTCAGGATTTTACGGTAGTTAAATTTTTCGATGAGGCATATTTCACTAACAAAACTGACCATGTTGGAATGCGTGCGTTGCTCAAACTGAGTGTGACTTCCAGAATTATGCTAAGGTGGACTGTTGTGACCTGTTGTCAACTAATCCGTTGTGTTTTTCTCTTCTAGCGTAATATTTATGGGCTACTTGATGGAGTACCAGGAGCAGCTAAAACCTCCATCCGAGCCTCCTACATCACACATTCCAGAAGTTCATTCTTTTAAGGGATTACCACAGGTAGGACGTGTCTGCATTCATGTGTCTGCTGACTTACTTGTTTGCTCATACTGTAAAACCTCGTTATAACAAAGTTGAAGGAGCGGTCATAATTATTTCGTTATAACCGTTAGTTTGTTATAGCCACTGTGCATTACTTCCTCCTATTAGCAAGCAAGGGGAATTATGATTGCTTTGTTATATCCATTAGTTTGTTATATCCCATTTTGTTATAACGAGGTTTTACTGTACAGAGAATGCCATCCCAGATTTTAGCCGGATTGGTAAAAAAAATGTTTTTGCTGCCAGTTTTGAATGAAGTGGTGTGAAGTCACTCGTTGATTTTGGTTTTATTGTTAATTGGGATGATTGAAGGGCTGGGTTTCTTACTTAGTAGACGAGTAATGTTTGAAACTTCTGCCGTTCTCTAGATCACAGCAACAATTCTAAAACCTCCCAAGAAGCCACGCTACGCTCGTTACTTGACTGGCCACCCCGCTATAGACGACCCCCTGTCTGAGGTAGGAGTGTTTTACTTCTGCAAGTCTTTTTTTTTTTATTGATTTGCTAATGCCTATTATAAGAAGATGTGAGGTATCCCTTTTGATGTAAAATATTTCACCGGTGTGCGAGACCGAGCTAACACATTTGAAATGGCCTTCCTCAAGTGAATGAGGTATATGACCTATTTATTGTCATATGGAAATGCACTGGTACTTGGAATAACTTTTAATAAGCTAAGAAATAGGCATTCTTTTGCTTTTTTTTTAAACATATGTACAAAGCCTACGTGAATGAGGAAGTTGTAGAGCTAAAAAAAGTGTTCATCTTTACGATAGTAGGAAAAGTTTTCCAAGTGGTGTTGATTCTTGTTTGAATTCTACATATTGCAGGAGCAAGCCAACGTAAATGTAAACTAAGTATGTTATTTGCCTTACCACCCCTGACTGGGTGGTCAAAATTTTGGGGAAACAAATTGAGGCATGTGTGGTTGTGCTCTTTGGAACTCAGTACCAATTTCCTCTTTGGAACTCCATACCAAGATGTTCAGAACACAGTATTGCAATAACAAGATTCACATATTAATAAGTGCTTATTTCTGCAGTTTACTCATTCTTTTGGAAATGTCACCCTTGGGCTTTATGTATTGATGTTGCCTTCCCTGCAAAATTTTAACCCTGTGAAATGATTAAGGTGTCTATTTAAGCTCAGGAGAGCCACAAAGGACAAGTCGCCTGTGTATTGTGTTAACTGTTCAGTGTGGTAGGAGAGTCTTGTCAGTCTACTCGTTTATATCATGCCCACAATTCTCCAAGTGCAGCAAGTGCAAGCTCATGCTTTTCTGGAGTTTTGTTGTCACATAACCGTGCATGAAGTACTACCTCTGTAGCTCTTTCTTCTAGAGCTGCCAACCCATAGCCTCGGGATTTGTGCGTCGCTTTGAGGAGGACAAAATGCTAGCTCAGTGTTCCAAAACTTAAAGGGACACTGACAGGGTATTTATGCTCGCCGAGGTTTTTAGTTGTACGTGACATATGAGAGCTCAACTACCCAGAACAGAATTTGCGGCTCGAAATTCGGTTTCTTTCCGCCCGAAAACCGCCGATCAAGAACTGGCCGGTTCGAGTCTCGCTCACTCTCTTTTCTGCGGTCACGGGCCGTTTTCTAAGGTGTCGATGCGACCACCAAATTTAATCAAAGTCGTGGGTCACTGAAAGCACACTCAGTATTAAAAATAGAAAAAAATATGAAACCCAATTTTTGTGGCTTCTAAAAAGCTGCAAATACATTGATTGAAAAAAAAAAGTTCCACAGACAACCGGAAGCATTCTGTGCGTTCTTCGTTTTGCGTGACTCGCGGGGACGACGATGGTAGCGGACGGCGGGCGTGGGACCTCTATTTCAGAACTGTCGTTCGCGGTACCGGCGAATTCTGTCTACCTTTAAAAGATAAATTTGGGACTGATCAAAAGAATTGGTATTCATCCCGTACGACACGCCCGACCACCAAGCCGATTTGCACGAAGACGTCGCCGAGCCGTCGCTCCCTTCTCGTGGCTGAAGACATCGCTCGCGCAAACGTCAAGCACGACGTGTCTACTTCCACTTGAATATGCACGCGTACGATTTCTTTACTAGGTGCGGATGTCGCCAATGCGTGGTGCTTCCTGACTTCGACCCGGGAGTGCTTTTGCTAGAGGAAAATCGGCAGCAAACTTTCCAACTTACAGTTTACCGGCTAAATTATTGCTAAGGAAAGAGATCCACCAGCAGAGAATTGCCCCAGTAGCTCAGTGGGAAAGACGTCTGCTACACACGCGGTAGAACCAAGTTTAATCCCCCGTAAAACTTTTTTTTTTTTTTTTTTTTTCAAGCATTTTTTGATGTTTACATATCTTTTTTTTTTTTACAATTATCACTGAAGAAACAAACGAAACAATAACAAACAAATGTTGTGGACGACACTTCGCTGAATTAAATGGTATGGGATTTCCTTTTTGACACCTGCGAACTCAATGTAATCACTTTCCACAAAATGCAAGGAGGATATAAATCAGGTAGCGTCCGCTTTTTGAGGTGCCAATTGTAGCCAGCCATTGGTCTCGATCCCGTTGATCTTTCGGAAACTCTGTCGCACAAATGCCCCCTTTTTTTTTTTTTTTCGGACGCAGGACATGTGAGCCAGCTTTTCACGCAACATTGTGGGTGTATTCTTTTCGGAGCCGATCATGAAAATTCACCACGGGCACTTACTACTCATCCTCCAACTCCTCAATGTACAAAACAACTCATCTTGCAGTACAGAACAACGAGCGGAACAAACATAACGGCAAAAGAATCGCACGGCGAGCAGTTCCCGCACGCCGCATCGCACGCCGCATGTCGTGTCGTCTGCTACAAAGAGAAGAAAAAAAAAACAGAAAAAAAAAACGCACGGTCGGGTGTAGCCACGTGACTTCCGCCACTCACTCTCTTCTCTCCACTTCTCCGACCTCCGTCGGGTTTCGGTTTCGGTTTCGAGCAGTTGCGTCTTTTGGCTTTATTAAAAAAATACGCTACTCTGTGGCAAAATATTAATTGGGTAGTCCTCCGACACCATAATGAAGCGTCTGGCAAAAAATATAAAAAAAATTTTGGGGGGTGTCAGTGTCCCTTTAAGTGTGTAAATGGTCTAATTTGAAAAAAGGGTTCTTCTTACTTTCTGTAGAAATGCCCTGTGACACGACGGGCTGCAAAGCATGGTTTCCCTCCCTCTTTCTCATTTGCACACCGTCAATGTGCTTCCTACCTCTAGGAGGGCAGTAACTGCATGTAGTGTTACATTCTTCATTGTGTCACACCTTAGAGGTCTAAGAGTCCTTGATGAAGCAGCAGATTATTTTTTTAATCGGTCATTTTTTTCCTATTTTAGTTTGGAATTTCAGAGCTGTAATGAAATTAGATTAGCCTGTTTAATGTGTCCAAATTGTAGCATCGGTCTTTTTTTATTTTTTATTGGAGTGGTCTTTTGACACAACTTCTCTTGGATAGCAGTTCTTAAAAAATAATGTTTCCTCTTGTCCTCATCCAGGTGTTGAACTATGTCCTGCGTGATTACGTCTACACCTGGTACCTTGGCCTTTCGACCGACGAAGCCTTCACTGATCACATTAGAGATCTAGTTCATCAAGTCATAATTAACTTTTCATCAAGGTATGTCTCATTTTTCCTGTAGTACCTTGCACTTTCACTTGGACATGACTCTTCAAGCCTATCTGAAGTAGGGTCATAATACATATTGAAATCGGCATCTGGAAAGAATAAGACATTGAACAAAACTTGAACATACCATAGTCACTGACAGAATGAGAAAGGCAGGGTGCCCCTTTTCGACGCTCGGCCTCCTGCACACATTTGTTGCCTTTTGAGGCACTTTGACTGCATATTCACGCTTGATGCTCTCGAGATGCCTATGTATTATCGAAGGTATGAAGCTCACACTGGAGGACTTCCCTGCCATTCTTGTCCTGTCAGTAACTACAATATAACCTTTCTTGTCCATGGAGGAAGCGGGGTGCTTTTATATTGAGCTATTTGTGTTCTATTCTTTGTGTCTAATTGGGTTGGGGATCTAAACATTTAATCATAGTTTTGGGGCAGCTTTGGGCAATTTTTAAATTTCCTAAATTAGTAAGAGCTGTAAACATTTACGCTACTCTATTCATTCCTCTATTATGTTGCTCACCAAGTGTGTCCTAAGTCTTGCTTTCCTATACCTAGATGAGCAAAGCATGTCATATCCTCTTATGCTGAGAAATGAAAAGGCCTTCCCTTTCTAAACATGTTAAAAACAACTCATTTATGGCTGTACGTGGTTGAAATAAATAGTGATTTTTTAAGCGGAATTCAGTTTGCCTGTTCTGTCACCATCTTTACCTGTTTTTTTGTATTTCTTCTATTTCTTTTTGTCATTAATTTGTCACCAAATTTGATGAAGTTACTCTGCTGGAGGCATTTTATTCCGATGAATATTACCTGCCAATTCTGTTGTTAGTCAGACAGTATGTCTTGTTCCTTTTCTGAACCAGGGCCAATGGAGTGGACTGGGTTCAGTACCTCACCATTCAACTAGTCGACGACTTTGCATCTCATTTGCGGTTGTTTCGTCAAGCCCAGACAAAGTTGAAGTTAAAAAAGAACAATGGTAGGAAACCTCCCTTAACCATTCATAGGTGATCCTCATGAAGCTGGGTTCATGACGACAGCGACTCTTAACTAAAAAATTGTTAAATGCGTGTCTATTTTTCTTTTTTCTTTTTTTTTTTCTTTTTTTTTTTTTTGAAGCTGCAGATGGCAATGCCAAGGCCCCTGACCTTCTGAGTTTGTTCTTCAATCTGGAGACTACCATGGAGCAAAAGTTACTGTGTCGTGATCTAGTCTGCATCTCAAAGGAGCGAGAAATGGGTATGGACTGTTCTCCCACCTGTCTTAAATTTTATAGAGAGAGAGAGAAAAAAAAAATCCAAATAAATTTTAAATTTGCCTGTTGCTGCTGTAAATGCACACTTGTCTGAGACAATGAAGTCTCAATAGAGGGCATAGCAGCCAATGTTTAGCCTCTCGCTTGACAAAGATTGACCTGTTCTCACACATCTGTTGATTGTATTAGTATGGCAGGGCTGAGGAACTTCGGGCATGTGGAATAATGGTGTGGACAACTTTATTACTCTTCCAGTGTGTTGAAATGCTTGCCATGCTCTGCACTTTTTTTTTTTTTATGATGCGACCCCTGTTTCAGAGTACCTCCAGCATCTGGGGGAAGTGCTGCTGTACCTTTTGCTACCGCCCGACGATTTTCACAACAAAGTTATGAGAGTCTTCCTGAGGGTGCGTAGGGCTATGCTATGACATTCTAGCCAGCGCTGTCAAACTGGCATCTTCTCCGCGGCCTCCGTCGAAAGGGAAGCGCGAGCGACACCCATGCCTGACATCTCATTTCAGGAGCTCCTTGTGAACACCGTGCTTCTCCCTGTGATAAACCTTGTCTCCGACCCTGACTACATTAACCAGACAATAGTTTGGATGGTAAGTTATTCCATGATTTGGCTAATCTTTTGTTTCAGCTTTTCTAACTTTGCTGTGTCATGACTCTTGGGCACACTTTGCCTACCGAGTGCTACGAGGTGATGCAGTTAAATCATTTTTAAATGCACTTTAAAAAAAAATCCTTCGTTTGTTTTGTAATGTTTACATTTCAAGTGTGCATAAATCTCACCCTTTTTAATTTCGGGCCGCCTCTGTTTCCTATTTCCTCACTTCATGTAACATTTGAATGCAGGTGTTTTTCGAACTAGGCTTGGAGACCTTTACCATGTGCTTCACACTTAATATCATGTTTACTCAGATATATTTTATTAGGCCTGAACTACTACTTTTCTGCAGACCATGCATCTATACTTAATTTCACTTCAAGAACTGGCTCCTCGCAGAGCATTATTAATTACCCTTTTATGTTGAGAATTAAGATATGTGTAAGAGCATTTTAAATTAGATATGCGTTATCTTATGAAGACTTACACGTTTTAAGTGCCAAAATCATTGCTTCTTCCTTCGACAACCAAATCTTCTATGAACTAACTTTGAGCAGCTTTTCGTTGAGGTGAAAACGAGTAAAGCCATAATGACACAGAAAGCATTTGTTTGAAAAGTGCTCTTTGGGCTGATTCTTGGGCCGATAATATCATGTGGGGATATTATCTGTGTACATTTGCAAAAATTGTTCTGTTGATTGAAATAACTAACATGTGTTGCATAGAAAAAACAAAAAAATCTGGGCATTGTCTACAAGTAGCTGCGTAAAGCTTCTGTTCAGGAAACTGTGGTAGCTGCTGTAGTTCATTCATTCATTTTTATTTTATTTCAATTAAGATCATTGTATCTCATATCAATACACAATCAGCGTCTGTTTCGAGTACAACCGTCTGCGCTATGATGGCCTACAACGAAATGTTACTGAGAGTCGTTACGGCAACTGAGCTGTGTACAATGCTTTGTCGTGTAACGCAGAGCAATGCAGTTCATGCAAATGCCCGAACTAACCTTAAAAAAACCCTAAAATATAGAAAAAGAAAAGATTTTTTTAATGGCAGAGAGTAAGTTTATTATATTTTTCTTATAACTTCTGCACAAAAAAAAAAAAAAATAGTGCACAATTTTTACGTTTTTAGACAGGATGTAGGTGGAGGTCATGGCCCGTTCTAAGCCCTGCACACAGACCATTGACCCCGCACATTGCTACTGGATTGGATTGGCTCTCGGCCAAACATGCTCAGTAGCCTAGCCTCCTTTTCACACCATTTGGCGCGTCTAGCCTGGCGTCTGACTCCGCCTGCTTGTCGTCCGAGCAGACGCGCGGTAGTCTCCGGCATCGTGTGCTATTCCACTACTGTCTGTCATTGTCTGCAACGCCCAGACACGGGCATGAAAGCTGCAAGTTGGCATCTGTTTTCGCCTTCATTTGGTCTGCTATTCCTGCCCCTTCTAGAAATATCTGCAATGCTCTCAAGATGCGTCCATGAAAGCGGCTTTCTAACGTTCCATCATGCACTAGCCATGGTCTAATACAAGTGTCTGTCAATGTCTTTTCATGTACAGTAAAAAGCGACTGAGAGGACTAAAAAAAGCTCGAGGTACACCTAGGCACTTCTTATGAGTTGTGAATGCGAAAGCACGCACGCCGCTCTTCACTCTCTTCTTTAATTTGCGGCGTACAACAAGCTAACCTTGGGCATGAAACGGTGGAGCCGCTGTCTTGCGGACACGCAGCGCCATCGGGTGAGGAATAATTGAAACTGTTGTGCGCCTTGCAGCGCGAGGAAGGAACAGACAGCAACGTAGTTCCTACTAGAACGAACCCCTTGGTTTATTCCATTCGCCATACAACCGATAAGAGGCCAGCAAATGCGGTGATCGCTGATAACGCAACAGTGTGATAACACAGTCAGGATGACACCACACAAACTGACGCGCAGCGGCCAAAAGGAGCCTCGTCGACGCACCCCGGCCAATGGGACTGAAATGTAAAAGATACTGGTGGCTAGCTTTATGCGTGGTTTCATTAAGGTGCCATTTTGCATGGTTTCGAAGCTGATGACGTTGGCTTGGTCCATGAGACAGTTAATACTTTTGCATTAAAAAAGCAGCAAAATATGAAGTACACAGTCCTTCCAGTTTTTCTGTTCTTGTTATTTTTTTTTATTTTTTTGTATAGCATCCACGAGCAAGGTGGGTGAGTGTCATAACTAGGGTTCCTTCTTTTATGATTTTACTTTTTTGCTAAAACTTTGGTGTTTATCTATGTTTATTTTTGTTTGATTCCCCATCCTCCAAAATTCTGAGTTTAATTTCGCAGTGTTATCCGTTAAAAATGAATAAATATTATCTGTATGCTAGATAAAAAATAAATCACACTTATATCTTAATATTTCCTCAGCTAGATATGGCGTCGGTGCCATTGTCATCGGCAATACTAATTTGTCCCATGACAAAAGTTACACACAAGTGTTGCTTCAATAAACTCGGACACCTTGAAATCAATTAACCCTGGAGGTAGTCACAGGGAAGCTCGTATTCATCCCATCCTATTCCATCAACCCACCATGCTGCCACGCGAGGTGGAGTGGTAAAGTATGTAGTAAAGAAGTTTCAACTGCCCCTCTTCCCCATTTTATGCAATATTTGTGGTCCATAGTTTTCACTCTTACACAAACGCGACCTCTCCTTCCTCTAAAGCACAAATAGCATGGCCCAAACTGGAAACCAAAACAGTGGCTCTTGTCGTGACCCAAAAGTACAATGACATGTTGTCCCTTGTGAACCTTGACGAGATAAGCGGTAAGACCGCTTTTGATAGTGGTCCGAGATTTAAAAGATAACTGTGGTCACACTTTCCCATGGCCATCGACACTAATCAAACTTAATTGTAAATACTGTCTTTTTTTTGTCTTTCTTTTTTGGGGTGTGGGTGTGGGTGGGGGGGGGGGAGGGGAGGGAGGGAGGGAGGGAGGGAGGGAGGGAGGGAGGGAGGGAGGGAGGGAGGGAGGGAGGGAGGGAGGGAGGGAGGGAGGGAAGGAAGGAAGGAAGGAAGGAAGGGAGGGAGGGAGGGAGGGAGGGAGGCAGGGAGGAGGAGGAGGGGTGGTGGGAAGCCTTGGGACATCAAAATTCTGAGTTTATCGAATAGATAGGAGTTAACAAAAATTTTACTGGCAAGTGTTTTTCCGAGTTTTTCAGATTTATCCAAAAACACGGAAGCCTAGTCATGACGCACAATTAAAACACGACCTAAAATATATTTGCTCTGGCAGGCCAGGTGCACTGCAAAACTTGAGAGCTACTTTCCTTTTGATGCGGAAAGACGGGAACAACCCTGGACAAACTTGATGCAAGCCGAACGGCCGATTGCCTCCAGCCAAATGGCTCACGAATTCTTGCCTGTGCAGGCATCTTCTCGGCATTGAAACCATGGTTACAATCACAATAGTTACACAATTCACGCTTTTTTGGGAACTAACATTTTTATTCAACATGAACACGTACAAATGAACAAATCAAGCCAGATCAACAACAAGCGACGTGGCACGTCAGGCTTAGGCCAGTCCCACTACGAAAATAAGCACCCTCACAGCGCTTCCAAAGGCGCATACTTGCGACAGTTGTTTGTTGCAAACTATGTCGGTTTAGGAGACCTTCCTCGAAACACCTCGGTGAGCACAAATCGACTCGCACTCATAAAAATAAATGGGCTCGACCAGCTACACTTGTTGAGCACTCCGTAAACGTCGGCAGCCATGTTCGTTATCATTTCACATCAGTGCGGAAAAGGCAATCTTGGGGTAATTTTGAAAACAATAATGACTCTATCTAGATTTTTTTTTCTCATACATAAAAAAATTGTCATTTAAAATACTATCACGGCATGGAGATTCAATTTTACAACCAACTCTTCACATGTCAATCATCTCTCCAACCAATGAGAGCCGAGAAAAGGTGCTTAGTTACCTAAGCACCTGGTAGGGCCTAGAGCAGTGCTACCCCCACCTACATTGCATCTAACAACGTAAATATTGCTAAAAACAAATTCTTTTTTTGTGGAAAAATTTCCAGAAATGTTTGTGTCCCATCTAGGCCCTTTAAAAAAAACATTAAAAAAACTTTTTTTTTAATTTTTTTATTTTGGTGAAGTGAAACTAATACTCAGTCTTCTGTCTTAGCACCCCACGACAATCCCTAACCACAACAAAGTAGTTTTCAACCTCTACCCAGTGAGGAAACTATGTCTCTACACCTTTGTTGCAGCACCACTCACCCTGTCCCTTGCCACCAATTGAAAACATTCACTCTCAATGGAGGAGGTGCATAGTTCATAGTGTATTGTGACAAAACTGCAGTACCCTTCAGGTCGTTCATTGTACATAATGGTAATGACTGCAACATCAGTGCCGAAGTGGTTGAATCTTAACCAGTTTACTATGACTTCTCGTCTGTGCAGTGCCGCAACAACATGCCCACAAGCGACGACTTTCTCACAGTCCTGAGGTGTACAGATAACTTGAACGAGCTCGAGGCCGTTCAGGAGATTGTGGCGCAAGAAATTGCTGTGCAGCGGTCACGAGACTCTGGCGGCGATGACGGTAGGATGTTACTGTCTATTTGCAGCAAATGATGATTTCTGAAGTTTATTTTGGTGACTGTAGCATGTAGGAGAGATATCCCAGACTGGTACATTGATGAAAGTCTAATTCACACGAATGCATATTTCTCGTGTCAATGGATTTAAAAGTTAGCTAATAAAACCAGTGTTTCCTGTGACAACAAATGTCGACATTCTCTCATTTCTTCTCTCTGTGTTTCGTGTGAACTTACAGTATTTACCGTTTACGTGAAACTTTACCTTCCGCATTTTCGCAAAGAAACACTGTTGGAAAATTCTGGGAAATATTATTAAGGCATTGACCTACCTTGAAGGTTGAAACATCATTCTTGTGAAAGTGTTATAGATGTCTTTGGTGTTTCACCTTCTGAATAGCAATTTATTACAATGTGAATTTTGTTTTTGCTCCAAAGATACTGTGATCAAGAAGCAACTGAACAGTCTGCTCTACCTGAAGAAAGTGGTGGAGAACCGACTGCAACGGCTAAACGACGGAAGCCTGGATACTGACTCCACCGGGCTGCCATCTGTGAGTGACTGCACTCCTCCTTTGACCATACATTTTTTTTGTTTATTTATTTATTTATTTGTAAGTACTGCCAATCCCAAGGAGGAAAACTACACAAGGGAAAAAGCGCGAAAGTACATACTACAGTCTCCGACCGATTTTTCGGACTTCTCAGGGACCGAAAAAACGTCCGAATAATAGAGCAGTCCGAAAAATCAGCAGATTAAAGAATTTGCCTTTATTACGTCTAAGCTTCCTTTAAAAAGCCGTAAATAGTGCCTTGCTTCAGGTTACCCCTGCGCGCCTTGTTTTAGGTTACGCCTCCGTCTGCATTCGGCCACTTTTTGTTAGCTTGAGAATCGCTGCCTTCTTTTCTAGTGTTACGGTCGAGTTCTTTCTGTGCTTCTTAGCAACAGATCGGAGTGGCGGAAGAACAGGTGGGGCAACGACGTCCAAGCCAGCGTAGTCCGAAAACACGATTCGCCGAGTCGAGATGGGAGGTGCAAGTCCATGACTGCAATGGCGAAGGAAAAAAAGCAAAATGGAAACAACAATAATGATGATAATGACGAGCAGCTAGAGAAAAAAAAAAAAAGCCGTATAGCGTCACCTAGCAGTAGGACTTAGCAGTATTTGAGTAGCGCTGCCAAACCAAGTCAACCCATGTGCAACCAAAATCCAAAATGGCCGCTTTTCGGTGGTGTTTCCCGCTGATCGCTCGTGATGATTTTGTCCGAAAAATCAAACCTTCGGACTTCAAGCTGTCCGAAACATTGGTCGTGAATATGCACTAAGTATTTCTATCGGGTAGGTCATGGTTCCTCCCTTACGTCCAAAATATTGAACAATTTCGAATTATCGGCGTCCGAAAAATCATTTGACGACTGTCGTTCATAACTCACACCCTTGTTCAGAGTGCTCATGGGAATGTGGCAAGCATAAAATAAGCTGCATTTGATACAAGACGTCCTAACTTAAAATACTCGCATTGTCGAATGGCAGAAGATATTGTTAGAAAAAGTGTACCTGTAATGTGCGTGATATTGTCAATTCCATGTTCTTTACAGAAAGTAATTTTTGTTGTACCAGAACGAACTTGCCCGCCTCACTCCTTGTCAAACCACTGACGTGTGGGGTTTATTTTACTTTACGGCGATAGTTGCTATGGGCTCTTCCCAACACTGGAAATGACGTCCATTGTTGATGTTGTAGTTGTCGATGTGGGGCATCTGTCGTCGATGTTGCCAATTCCTTGAAAAAGACTGCCCATCGCCCGCGGAAATCAAACCTGGGTCCATTGCGTGCGAAGTGGAGGCGTTACCACTGAACTACGCCACAGCATTAAGAACCCGCTCTATACTTATGTAGTATGTTATGCCCACAGCACATGCTCTCTGGAAAAGAAAAAAAAAGCCAATAACAGAATGTTTGTTTGTAGCACTGTCAGTGCCAAGAGCTCGTGCCAGGAAATGCGCTTTCACGAGTTCCAGAACAAAAAAGAAACAAAAGCGTTTGGAACAAAATGATCAGATGTCCAGTTCATTCCGAACACGTTTGTGCACCCACCCCACGGTGCGTCGCCAATGTCCACCGACTTCGCCGTGACTTGTCGCACCTGTTGCTGTGCCTGTATTGTGGATTAACACTGAACTGGTCAATATTTGTCCCATACAAAGGGGCTGTTTAATCTTGCATGTTTTATATGTAATTAAGACATGTTTCTTTCTTGCATTGTCCATGTACAGCAATTTGACCTGAAGAAATTGTCTGCACCTGGGGTGGAGCTTTTTCAGCTGCCTTTTGATGTTGTACTTGCCAACAACATTGCACTTTCTTACTTCATTGGTGAGTTTCTCATTTCTTAGCTGTTTCTTACCCTTCTGGCCCATTGGGAAGTATAATATTATATAAAAATATTCCCATGACACCATAGCTACCCATCTTTTTTTTATGCTGTAGAAAAGTGGTGGAGTACCAGCAAGATGAACATCACCATTTCGATAAATTGACTTTATAGTGGGGTGGTGCTTTCTTCTTCTGGCTATAGTCTCCGACACTTTAAGAAACACCAGGCACGGCACGTCTCAAGCACCTTAGCAAGTATTGTCGCTTCTTGGCTAACAAGTTTGCTGCATCAGCTAATAAGAATGCCAAAGAAGTAATCAAAAGGCTAGAAGCATGAGTATAGTGAGTCATGTCCTGCATCTCCTGTCAGCAGTTTTGAAACTCAGTTTTAAAACCATGATTAAATTGGCCTCATCAGGATGTATGAAAATAAGTACAATGTCTACGGGCATTTAGAATTTCCCATTAAAGTCTAAGCTCATCACAACAGACCTGGTTACAACAGACATTTGGATATAACATACCGATTTGTGAAGTTCAGTTGGTTTTCCTCTACATAACATTGATTCAACTTCATATCTGCATATAACATACTCCTTTTAAAACAGACCAAAATTTTGGTCAAAATCAAGGTCTGTTATAATGAGCTTGGACTGTATTATTTTCAATTTTCTTCTGTGTAATATACACCACTGTTGGACAAAATCTGTTTGATCTGTGTTGCCACTTGGGACTGGAACCTCCTGGATTGCATTGTTAAACAAGTCAAAGATAAAAAATGTGTGCAGAATTATATCAGTGCCGGCTTTGTAATGCATTGGGTATGGTGCACATTTATGATACGTATTCCGAAAGCTCTTGTTGGGGTTTTCGCTCTCTCTTACGGTCATTTCTGAAAAAGCTTCTCTGTAAGTGGCTATGTGTACTAATTTTATAGCGCCTGTCCTGTTTACTTCTTGTCCTTGTTTCTGTTGCGCTATTTTATATGTTTTACTAATTTTATGTCCTCTATTTTAAGTGAGTGGCCTGCTTAGAAACGGGTCTAGGAGAACTCGTCACAAGCAAACTTGTCATAGCCAACTCGTCATAGCAGAACTGGTCACAGCAGACATCTCTTGCACGGGGAACTCGTAACGGCGGAGAACTTGTTAAAGCGGAGAACTGTACCTTTGTTAATTTCATTCAAATTTGTTTGTCACAGAATGCGCCTCCAAGGCTTCAATTGCATAATATATAATATGTTGTGTTCATTTTTCTACTTGATACAAATTTTAACAAGAGAAACGAATTAGGTGGTATTGGGCTTGGGGCTCTTCGTTCAAGCAAACAAGGTCTGCATGGTTGGCGAGTATACCAATTTGACTGCACCCTTCTGTGCACATAGTGTGCACAAAGCAGCAGTAATTTTTAACATTATGAAAACTATAAAAATATAAATAAAGACTTTGTACAGCAGCATAGTTGCTCCACGGTGTTTTCTGGGAGAACACATTTGTTCCTATATGTATGTATACTTCAAGCCAGCGTTCTCCCAACTGTGCACACTTTGGTTTCTCTGATTTCAACCAGTAAACAAAAGAGAGAAAAAAAACAAAAAACATTCTTTTAATTGAAAGAATAAAAACACGAAGGTTTACGCAAAGGAGTGTTCGGGTGTGCACCTGACTTCGCTGACACCAAGATAAAGGGATCACGAAATCATCAAGTCATTCCTCATTGAGATAGCAAAAACGAATGTTTCATTGGCATCCTTACAAAAGTCTGCCCTCTAAAAGGAACTCTCAAGATGGCTTACAATGGAAAAGAGGGGGTAAGAGACAGGTACTCCCTTGTGGGATGGTAGACTGCTTAGCGAACAAGATAAAATAAGAAGCAAGAAATGTGACAAACGATCTGGAAACATTTGACCACTTTTCCTATGATGAGAAGGTCAATGCGACCACTCTCCCTACAACGAGATCACCTAGCATGAGATGCCCTCTTTTACCAGTTCACTAATGACCAGTTTTCTTGTGACGAGTGGACGTGTTCCCCTTAGAAGCAGTCCGGCCACGGATCAAACTGTACTGACTACCGTCTGAAGATGTTTAGTTTTTTTTTGTTTTCTTTCCTTGCAGACTTCATGACGAGCATTGGAGCCCAAAAGTACATCTCTTTCTATCTTCACGCCGAGGTGAGTTGCAAGACCACTAAGTTCATCATGCGAACTCATTGCCTCGTGATACACAGACACCTAATATATTGTGAAAATCAGATTGCTGGTTTTAACAGGGATGGTGGGTATTTTGTAATTATTTAGTTAACCTAGAAAACCCCTCGAAATGTCTCAGATTTTAAGCAGAATGATGCTTAAAATTCCTGACAAAATCCTTTTTATGGATACAGTTTGGAGGAATGGGCTTAGAATATGTGGAGACTACATTTTGGGTTCCTTGATTGATAGTTCTACCACAATAAGTGGGTAACTGACTTGCACATGTCACAATGAAAACTACAATCATTGATAGTACAGTCCTGTCTCGTTAATATGGATACCCCGCTACATGGACACCACTTTTGGGGACAGACTGAGAAATTATGTGCATTTTTGTCTCGTTATTATGGCCAACTCACGTTATGGACGATTTTTGTGGGGGTGGAGGTGTCCATATTAACGAAACATCACTGTACATACTATATGCGCAAGTTGTTTATGAGCCCACAGGACGTCACGGTCTACGGCGTTGCACTGTTTTTGGCATTTTTAATTGCTACACACTTTTATTTTATCCAATTCAATGAGTGAATTCTGGTCAAATATAGTCACAGAATTAAGAAAGCCTCAGGTGTAGGCTATAAATTTGTTACAGCATATACCCGGGGGGTAATGTTTGACAATCCATGGCATGTCGTTGCTTGGCATAACAACACAGAGGCATGACTAACTCTCAGGCATTCTTCATCTTCAAGGGGTACAAAGTGGCTGCTGAACAACTTCTGAGCGAGGCTCATTCGACAGAAGACAGAACCACTAACCTTGAGTCCCTGAGAGAGGCAGCGGGCAACATTTACGACATGTACATATCAGAAAAGGCAAGTGGTGTTCGGCAGCTTCTTGATTTGGCGACATCCCATGAAGTCTCTCTAAACGTGGATTCCTAACCCTGTTAAAACTTCCAGGCATCATCCAGAATAAATGTTGACGACGCTATGGCAAAGAAGCTTCTGCGCAAACTAAGGGTCGAGACTCCAGACGAGTTCTGGTTCGATGACATTCAACAGCAGGTGATGTTGCAACTTCTCTTTTCCTCATTTCAAAATGTGACTTTGAACTATGAAAGCTCCGCTTACGCTAAGCATGTCACAGCCAGACCTTGTGTCCCCTTGTGTAAGCCTTCGAGGAGAAGGAAGTGGCATAAAAAGGCAATTCAAGGAACAGAACCTAAGTTTTGGCACAAGTGCAGCTTTCCCCTTTCATAGTGAAATATAAGAACCACTACTTAATTAAGCACAAATTAGAAACCTTCACTATGACTACACTGCTATGCACCAACCTACAAGTTGCGACCCTGTCTCATTCGATTTAATGCAGCCCACGGAAATCTAAAGCCCGCTGCCCTTATGCTAGTGCTACACCTTCTTCACCAATACAAGGTTGCTGTTGGCAAAACAAATAAGGCTGCTACATAATTGATTAATGTATGCTTGCTATGCTTTTATACAGTTTCTTGCATTATTTAATTCATACATACAAAGCTTCTCCTTCGAAAAGTTGGTACACATAGTATGCGCTCGTCCTTGTCAGATAAGCTCTTTCTCATGGCCGGGTTTTATTTTCTGACCAGGTGCAGCTTTTGTCAAACCCTTTTCCTTTGCCACCTCTTCTCTTTAATGAAAGGTTGCACAGATCATGCAAGAGAAGCCGCACTTCCCTAGCTTCATGAAAAGTCCTGCATACATCAAGTTGTTGGCTGACCTCGATCTCCTGAAGGATTTTGGTTCGAAGTCAGATGAGGAAGGTAAGAAACCCTTTTCTTTTCTTTTTTTTGTACAATTGTTACTGTAAGTACTGCAAGCTAACAAAGTAACTCTGGAATACCAATCCAAGGTTCGGTGTTTTCACTTGTGAACATAACTGTTTCAGACTCATTCAGCGGAGCAAAGTCGGCTGGCAGTGGTGTAAGCATTGCATTGACCTTTTCGTGATTGGAATATAAAAGTCGGACATTATGCAGCATTTTCACGGGTGCATGAGTGCACTACAACTGGATATTCATTTCAGGACGACTGCAGCAGTCTGTATTCCTTGGACCAGGAAGAAGAGCCAATCGAATTCCTCAACAAGGACCTGCCCACAGTGCCTCCAGAACCAATTGAGAATGTCAAAGCATCTGAGGCCTTTCTTACTGCAAATATCTACAACACAGGTCTATCAAGTTTTCTGCATCCATTATTTATGACCTGTCTTCATCTCGAGTGTGGCGAAACATTTTTTATCCGACGCTGGAGATCAAAAGCGAGGCTGGAAGGAGAAAACTCGTAAACTTTGTCTCTTAGTTTAGGGTGTGCTACAGAGCTTTAACATTCTCCCCAATTCTTAAAAATAAATGGTTTTTTGAATGATTACTGTCATCCTCTAATTGTAATTTGAGCCAGTATGCTTTTTTTTTCTGCTCAGGCATAGTGAGAGAAGGGAGCACGTCTTTTGCCCTGTACGCCATTTCTGTCTGTCGCCGCGAGCCCCTAACGCCCGAAGAACGGTGGTGCGTCTTCAGGAGGTACAGCGACTTTGACGACTTTCACATCCTCATCCTCGAAAAGGTACCTTTACTTACTTTTTCTGTGTCGTTTGTCGTCGGGAGAACATGCATTCCACGGTTCTCACGGCGATGTGAAACTCTATACTGCACATTATTTGATTTTACGAGACAGTGCCAGACGATAAGACAGAGAGATCCATTGTACAGTGTAAACCGCACATAACGTATGTTGCGGGAGTCGCGAAAATCCGCACTATAAGCGGTACCGTGCTATAACCAAAACATCAATTTTTCAGGCCAAAATACATGCCATCAGACAACTTACCTTTGTAAAAGAATTTATTTTATGTTAGATGAAAAATAAAGCTTAGTTTGAGGAAAGTCTTTATTTCACCAGACTTTCAAAATGTGTGTCACACATTTTGAAAGAAATGAGCGGCTTTTGCCTGACGCAGCCTTTTAACGGCGTCGCGGGTTGCGGACGGACGTTGCGAGCGTTAAGGATTGCTAACCCTAATCACTTTTCTCCGGTGATGAAAACGCGTGAACATTTGCATCCTTCATACAATACGCGCCAGTAATACCTTCAACTTGAGCACGCACATGAAATGCGCCAAATAAGAAATCCGGGCGATGTTCGAGGACACAAATTCTTAGAAAGCACCACTGTAGTCGAAGTAAACAAACACGACGACACGGGCATTTCTGCCGTCTTGAGAGCGCCGCCACGACATCGCCGCACGAGTAGGTGGATCTTCCCTTCTAGTGCGTGCTGGGTTGTCATAGCGACACACAACGAAAATTCACAGTCAAGGATAGCGCTTTTACGCGTAACGATTAGCTTCCACCACGCCGCCTATGACGACGATCACAACCGACGCCATGTTTGCGGATAGAAGCAGCCGGCCCGCGACCATCATGCAACGCGCGCGAACACTTCTCCTCGACCTGCGATTGGTCTGTCATTGCGGTTGTTTTCCAACACAGCGGAGGGACGCACGCACGTGAACGACACGTGCGTGCGTCCCTCCGTCGCTATGGCAACTGAAGCCTCTCTCTTCTCTTCTCCCCGCTTCTTCGAGCAACCTCCTTGCCCCACGAGTGCCGCTTGTGGCTAGCGCCGTCAGCGCCGTTATCTAGTGTCGCACAGGGAAGCGTGCTCGCTGCTCCGGTCGTCGGCGCGGTCAGCGGGCTGTTTCAGAAACCGCACTATAACCGGTATTTCCCTTCGCGCGCCTGCATTTTAAGCGATATGTAATTACATGGAGTTCTATGGGAGGTGAACCGGTGGTTTAAAAAAACCGCATTATACCCGGTCCTGCACTATAAGCGGTTACGTTGTAAGTGGTCTATACCAGGGGTGGCCAAGCTGCGGCTCTTCGCGTGTCAAACTGCGGCTCGCGGCTCCCTCCCTCCCCTACCCCCCCCCCCCCCCCCCCCCTTCCTGCCACCCTCCCGGTCACACGAGCACTTCCCCCAAAGGAGAAATGGAACGCGTTTTAAATCGAAAGACAGGTTGCGCGTTGGTAGTCTTGTGCTACTGCTACCTTAAGTATAGTTGGACTGCTTTTGACTCAGCTAGATTGAAAGTAATTCGAGTTTCGTCAATTTCTCTAGACAACCCCCCCCCTCCCCGCGGCTCTTGTAAGTCTCGAGATTTTGTTTGCGGCTCTCAGGTCGGGTCAGCCTGGCCACCCCTGGTCTATACTGTACAACTCCACGGGTGAGGCTTGGTCACACATAGGTGCTTTGAGTACGGTCGACTGCAGTGCAGTTGCTCGTAACCGCTTAGTACGACGAGATCGCACGCTGGCGACACACGTCGGGTAACCCGGGACACCTCTCTGTGGTATTTGCGAGATCAAATCTATGGGCAGTCTGTGAGAAGTGATCTCTCATGACGTCATCAGAACCATCTTGAGCACTCGGTGAAAGGACATTGTGTGAAACACAAGCAGATCGGAAGAGTTTCGAGGCTATCCGACAGCACGTCTTCGCCTTCTTCAAACTTTGCTTCATACTCAGAAACATGCATTTCTTGTGTCCACCATGCGTGCTCACACAACTAGCGTTCTGCCCGCCCTAGTTTCCAAAGTTGTCCAAGCTGCCATTCCCGGGCAAGAAGACATTCAACAACCTGAGCCGCCAGTTCCTGGAGCAGAGGCGGTCCCAGCTGAACGAGTTCCTTCAGCGCATCCTGCACGTCGACGTGCTCTCGGTCAACCGGGGCCTGCGCGAGATGATGCTGCACTTCCTCGAGCCCGGACTTTACGAGAAGGAGAAGAAGCAGTTCGCCAGGACGGTGAGCGCGCCACTCGCATTGGCAACACAACTTTGTCCGCCAGTTGGGGAAGCCTTACATTAATATTTTAAAGCAGAATGCTTCAATGGACTGGTTTCTAAGACTAGGGCATCACTCAAAGCTGTTACGAAAACACGACCACAAGTCGAGATATCTTTGCAGAAAGAGCACTCCATCCCTTACCAGGGATCCACCCCCGAACCTCCCTTGCACCAGTAGAGTGGCCCGGACGTGCATTGTTACAGCTGCCACACACTCGTGTTGCTGCAAAGCATTTGTCGCTACAATGCTGGGAAAGGTCATGTGATGTCACATAACTACCCTGTGTTATGTGATCAGATAAGCTATTGTTACGTGATCACATGATCCAACAAAGCTACATGATAATGTTGCTGGCCCTCGCATGTCACGGTCACTTGAGCACTTTATGTGACTTCACGTGACATGGTCGCATAAGCGCATCAAGGAGTTAGAAGGGAATTCTAAAGTGTTTATATCCCGTGAATCTGAATATTATGTTAGTATTCCCCGAAGATGTAACTAAACATGAGAAACTCGAAAAACCTCCGACCAGTCGTTACGACATACCCAGACCTTTCGGCCGCCAAGCTCCTGTCACTCTTGTGGGCAGCGCGTGCATTTGCAAGTTTGCCAAGTATATTTCCCTGCGATGACATCAGTCGTGACGTCTTTTTTTTACCTCTTGAAAATAGCAAGAGTGCACCCACATATTTTTGACAGGCGCTCAAGATGTGCGGGAGCGAAGATTCCCAAAACTCTGAATATGACGTCACGCTCCGGGAAGATGGGGCTTCAGGGGTGCTTTGAAAATTATTTTCTGCAGCCTCCGTGCACCAAATTGAAAAATAATCTCAATTTTGTAGTCCTGGAGGCCAAATGAAGATGATTTAGGTGTTTTTGCTCAAATACAGAACCACTTCACTTTTCCTTTAATGAGGAAAACAAGATGATTCTAGTCAAGAGGTGTGGCAGAACCCATTAGTTTTAAATAAACATTTTCTCATGTGATCTTTAAGGAGTAACAATTTTTTATTTTATCTTGATTCCTTACATTAAGCTGAGACTCAGAATGCATTTTGTGTGGCTTAGCCTCTCAAACATATCTGCTCCAAGATGCTTAGACACACACAGCACATTCTGCATCTCTCATCTCTACAGAAAGAATCAAGGTAAATTTGCTATCGCACCTCCGCAACATCTGTTTCTCCAGGTGGCGGTAATCGCACCAAGGTTGTTCGTAAGCAGGATGGGGTAAGAGGGAGAGGGTGAGAGGAATGGGTAAGGAGAGCTTAGATGGCAGATTTGCTGTAGCTTTCTGGGAGGTGACTCGATTTCATGGAGCTGAGCCTGTACAAGAACGAGAAGTTGCAGTTGGCAAGGATGACGAGCTCTTGTTTGTCTACAACTGGTGCTCTGTGAATTGGTTTTCTCGCGTGCCAGTAGTGTAAAGGTCACATCTCTCTTGAACAAACTGTTATCATGTGAGGTTGAAAAAACAGGCATTAAGGTAATGGCTTGTTTTAATTTTATTTTAATTACAGATACAACTGCCTTCTCATGGGAGTCCTCGTAGTACCAGGCTTTCAAAGCAGAGACAATAGAACAGTTGGTGTTTTCTGTAGCAGCGTTTCAAATTTATAGTATATATATATATATAGGAAGCGAGCAAGCCGGCCGTGTCGCGGCGGTCGCCTATTGTTCGCCGCGACCTGGCCAACCTGGTGGTAGCCGCCGCAGGAGCATCGGGCAGCAATGGCGACGAACAGCACGGCGGACAGCGTCTTCGTCGTGATTACGACGGAATTTAAGGCAGTTACGAGTTCGGAAAGTTCCTTCGGAAGCCGGTGCCACCGGCTCAGAATCATCGCGAAGTAATAGCAACGAACAGCACAGAGGACAGTGGGCGACTACGAATCCGGAAAGCTTCTTCGGTAGCCGGTGCAGAATCATCGGGGGGAAGCAGTGGCGATTAGCAGCACAGCGGACAGTGTTCCCGGGGTGATTACGACGGGGTTTAAGGCGGTTACGAATCCAGAAAGCTTCTTCCGTGGTGCCAATATGACGAAGAGAAAACTTTTTCATGAATCTGGCCGCGTGTATGACGTGAAGGAGGTCCGTTTCGACGGACAAGTGGATGTCACGGAGCGCCGTACTCTGCAAACAAAATTAAGCGCGCCCGCCAAAAAATTTAGTTGGCGTTGAGGGGACTGCGGTAATTATGTACGTTTATTTCTGAATCAGCTTGACAATAACTGAGCAATTTTTTTTTCGGGCCGTTCCGCGATTTCTTTACTATCTTCCTGTAGGCTGGTGGAAACATCCCAGGTAGGCTTAGGAGGGCGACCGCATTCCGCTTCTCGATTCCGGTGAAGTATTTGCTGCATAGAGTTTGCCGTCGGTGTCGATGCTGTTCTATCGTCGCTAGAAGAGAAAAGAAGGTAACTGTATTATACGTCAGCAGCTTAAACAAAGCACGAACTGGAAGGTAAGAAACACCACTAACCTGTATGGACGCACAAGTCATACCCAGGTCGCGCAGTACTCCGCCTCGTACGGCTTCGAAGGGACGATGTAGTACTACGTGCCGTGCGCGATCTTCGACGTACTGTTTCAGCCGACCAGGCAGCACTTGTTGCGGCTTTCTTGGTGGGGAATAGTCATCTCAGAAATTACAGCGCTAACCCACTACAACGCACAACCAACGCAGCGACTGGCAGAAGATGCCCGATGCAACGGACCCGTTTGCCGCTAGGGGCGCCCTGGTCGGTGCTTGAATTAGATCCGCACGATTCCTATACATATATATATATATATATATATAACACGGGCACTTCACACCATCGTACGTGGTCTCCAAGAAGGATATGAACGAATATGTGCAGATGAATGAACCGTACTTAATCCAATGAATCAAAGAATCAAAGTTTCCAGGAACTTTGATTCTTTGATTCATTGGATTAAGTACGGTTCATTCATCTGCACATATTCGTTCATATATATATATATATATATATATATATATATATATATATATATATATATATGTTTGTGTGTTTGTGTAAGTTTATATTTTAGAGACTATAAGTCAGCAAATGGGATCAGACTGAAATGTTCACCTAGTAAATAAAACATGAAAATCTCAAGGGAGGGAAGCATCTCGTTGAAGCTTAAGTCACTCAACACACAGTGTGCTACACTTGAGAAATGTCGAAGAGAATTGGGTCTTTCGCTATTAGTTTTGACACTCGGTACTCACTTCTAGACTAACTTGGATTTCAAATATCAGAACTTACCAGTTCTATGTAGCCAAACATCATTTGAATTTGTAGCTCGGTCATAACCAGCTTTTAAAGTTTTGACAATCATTCAAAAACCATTCTGCAGTTCCTTTAAAATAAATTGTTGTGTGTGTATGTTTACACAGCCTAGAACTTAGTCTGTTTCAATGGGTGACTTGTCTCCCCAGCTGTAGATGAGCAATTTAGCCAGTGCGGTACAACCGCTAGCCTGGCGTCTTCAACGTGCACCACGCAGCAGTGATACATGACTGCACACCGGTACGATGCTCATCTAGATCGAAACGGGCAGGGGTGGGGATTGAGCCAAGGATACCTCGGTTCTGCAGCGCGAGCTTTCGCTCCACGTGCGTGTGTGTGTGCTAGCCCACTCAGCCACCGATACCCCCTCAGTTTCTTTCAAAATTGCTCAGCCCAGTTCTAAAAACCTGCCTGTCCGTGACCTACCGACCGCATTCTGTGCAGGTGGGCTCTCTAGTCAACCCGCTCAAGTCATCCGTGCGCAGCATGGGAAACATGGTGAAGAACGCACCGGAAAACCTGTTCGACGGCCTCCGGGACGGCATCATCAAGGTGCTCCGAAGCCGGCCAAACGCGTCCCCCGTCGACGCATTCCTCGAGGGCAGTGGCAAAGTGGGGGCTGGGATCGACATTGAGGTCAGTCAACAAGTTCTAATCTGGGACATGGGTTCTCAAACTGGGTTCCCAGGAACTTTCCCCAAAGTACCCTAATGGGTTCTCCGAGCAGCCAAATTTTCCTAGCCGTTTCTGTCCCCAAGTAAAATGTTTCTCCAGTTCAAGCACTATTTCAGCAGATCTGAGCCATCCATTGACACATAACTACCCATGTGCCAAATATTCTCTAGTTTGCACAGCATTGTTCACAAGGTCTGCATTGTTGCTTCAGTGTCAGTTCCAGGGGTAGCTCATCGCCTTTGAGTCAAGCCAGGTTGGGGACCATCGAGACTCAAAAGTCTGAGAACTTCCGGTCTAAGAATAATGGGTAGTTGGCAGGGGCCTTCAACTTTTTTCGAGGGTCTACCCTGTCAGAGTCTGACCAGACACTAATGGCGGCCACACGCGGCTCCTGTACGCCGCGAAGACGGAACGTCTGTGACAGCTTGCAGCAGACGCCGGAGGATTTGTTTTCAGAACTTGGAGCATATGTATGTCGCCTTCGATTCACCATGATAGTTGAGGGGACGTGATTTAGGCAATCTTGTTTTCTAGTCGCCTTCATTAGAGTCAATATTTCGCAGCTTCTGTGACTACTGTTATACTTGGTGTCAACTATTTTTCACTGCGTCGTCGAGGCTAGCGTAGCTTCCACAGCACTGCAGCCTCGCACTGCTGAGCGATCGCCTCCACAGGACTTCCCCTTGCATTTGATCGCACAAGTGTCTTTGACGGCGTTGGAGCACTGCACAAACGTTGGCAATGTAGCACAAAAGAGTTGACATTTAGTATAGTTTATTCCACTGTTCAGAAAAATAACGGATCAGCTGCTGATATAAACGATCCATTGGCGCAGCTTGTCACCTCAGCAAGCGAGGGAAGCATGCACAATGTAAACTGTGTTGAGAATGGCAGCTGCTAGAAGTTTGTTGTGGAAGAGTGTATATACCTCGGGACAATTTTCTGTGGCAGTAGAACCACAGCTATGGACACTTGTGTGCTCGTGCAAGTTGAGCGCCAATTAAAACTCTGGATGCACATTCTTCTCGTCTCTGGAAGTGTCGCAGAGAGTTGGTCTCGAGTATAAATTAATGCGACGGAATTTCTAGTTTGAAATGAATTTGTCTTTTCATGTGTCTGCCCTTCAGACTCAAGACAACATCCCCCTGAGAATCATGCTCCTGCTGATGGATGAGGTGTTTGATCTCAAGAGCAAAAACCAGTGGCTAAGGAGGCGCATCGTGGTCATTCTTAGACAGATCATCAAAGCCACTTTTGGAGACACCATCAACAGGTCTGTCTCCTCGTGGATATGCATTCTGTTCTCCGACTTTTCCAGTTTTTTTCAACGACCGTTTGCTAAAGTTGTCATGCAACTTATCAACTTACATTCTTTTCCAGAAAAATAGTTGACTACGTCGAGTGGATGGCGTCTTCCGAGAAGATTGCAGAGTACATTACAGCACTAAAGTGAGCATGGATATTTGTCTTCGTTACACAACACATTTATTTTTGAGTCGAGAAGGCTTGTGCATATATTACAATGCTTCATAAAGCAAAGGTTACCAATGGTCGACACAGAGAAATCCTAATATTTTGCTGGAATTTCAGCGTACAGTAATTCCTTGTTAGAACAAAATTGCTTTCTTCGAATTATCGCTTTTATCGAAGTTCGGCGTGGTCCCGACCAAAATGCACGCATGTGTAACTGGATTATTCGAAGTGTATAGGCGGCCGACCACACTTATTACGAAGGAGGCAGCACCAAAAGCACGCAAGCCTACACGGAGGCACACGGGAGATTCTTGCATTCCCTCTCCTTTCTCCGCCGAGGCAAACGGCAAACTGGGAAAACGGAGTAAATGGCTGACAGAAGGCAGAGCGTGCTGAGCTGGCAGAGCACAGCTTCTGATGCCAATGCGCCAACGCGGCGACGCAGGCAGGTAACAGCATCAACGTTCCGACACTCCTTACGGTGCCCGCGGCCGACGCTGCCCGACTCTTGTCGGAATCGGGCCAAGAGAGCGATGGAACCCGGAGGAGACCATCCCTCCAAATGCGCCCGACACGCGCGCCCGTGGCATACTACACGCACTTGTGCATCGTATGGGAGATTGGGAGTGTTTACCGAAAGTTGCTTGAGGTTGAGAAAAGTGGCTGGCCTAAGTCCGAAATCGCCAAAGAATTCAACATTCCGGCATCATCTGTTCGACACTGTCTACCATTTTGCAGAAGAAGCAAGGCATAGTGGACAGGTTCGAAAAGTTTCTTATACAAGAGAAAGCGCACCCGTGATCCAAAGATGAATAATTGCCAACTGCTTCGAGCACGTCGGATTTTCTCTCGTGAGCATGCTTGCCGAGCCAGTGCACGATTTCCATAGCTGTAACGAGCTTTACAAGAGTGTGTGAAAACATCTTGGCAAAGCCACTGGGGATATTTTTTATTCATTCGCGCTTGTCGATGCGAGCGTTCCCGTAGTTGCTCCTACCACGGGTGCTGCGATCATAGACCTTGCGTGCAGCCAGGGTAAACACAAAGCAACGTAGGAGAGGCAGCTCGGGAAACGCCAACGACTGCGGAGACATGGAACATCTTACGGGCAGCTACGGCTGCTTCGAAACAAAGTAGAGTGCAGCGACGGTGACAGGGGCCTTGCAATGCCTGGAGCAGTTTAAAGAACTTATGCCCAAACAAAATTATCGGCAAACTCCAGTTAATTATATTTTGCTCAGTAAAGCTGCCGCAAGCTAATAACCAAGGATTGTTCAATTAAAAAAAATGGTCAGATTATTCTGCAGTGTTCCCGTCCACCTTCAAGGCTGCTGGCACTGCTTATTTTAACTCTATTGCTTTTATTTATTTACCGCTTGTGTCGAATTTTTTTGCCATCCCTTTGATTTTGTTATAACAAGGGATTACTGTACATAATGGTCACTTTCTTAGTGACAGAATTGCTTCAACACTGAGAACTGGAGCGCTGTCGCAACTGCGAGGGCAGTTAAATAGCTTTGCATTGGCGAATTGGGCAAGAACAGATTGTGAGCTGGTTCAAACAGTCAAACTGTTCTGCTATATCAGCAGAACAGCTTGACTGCTTGGCGATCAGAGGTCTGAAACACACGGCCCGCAGGCAACCGGCTACAAGTCCCGGTTCCCATGTCTCGAGTGCTAGAACTGGCATGCGCCATAGTGATCTAGATCATCTCAACAATTCATTGTTGTTCGAAAAGTAGCTCTGCTTTTTTAACATATTCACATGGTTTATACTTATGTGTGTTTATTTGCCCTTTGTTTAGCTTTATTTTTTGCCTCCCAGCTTTTTGTAATATACAACGATTCCGCCACTGCTGCAAGTGCAAACTATGCATTGAAGGATGGATCTCGGCTGCGCGAGCTCTCTATTAGCAGGAGTGGCTACTAAAGATAAAGCTATGAGCTTGGGATTGTAGCCTTCAAAAGCATATCACCATTAAAAGACAGGTATTTGTTCAGATTGTTGTAATAAAAATTGTGAGGAAAGCATGAACTGTCAAATTAACTGATTGTATTTTCTAGAGACATGTTGAGCTTGGTTAATTCCTGAGTGAATTGTGCAATGGGAACGATAGAGTACTAGCTCTTTTGTTCCATCAAAAATGCCAGCACATTGGAGGGGGCAAGCGGTGTCATTTTAATTCTCATTATCCCATCAGGTCAGGCCCCGGAGTAGTCATATAAACAAATAAAATTAAAAATGTCACTGCCAAAACTGTGGGTTTTGGCAGTGACAGTGACACAAGGTCCCTTGTTAAAATCTTCTGCCCCCCCCCCCCCCCCGCTCCCCCCCCTTCCCCTCTTGATGCTGCATTGGCCTTTGATCTCTCCGGTGTTGGCTATCTGGCCCCTACACTCAAAGGTGTTTGAGACCACTGTGCTATATAGTAGTGACGTGTTTAGATTAAGAATAGAGATGTGCGAAAATCAAAATCTTTGAAAGCGAATCAAATTGAATAATTTCGACTATGAATAGTAGTTTCGAATAAGAACATTTTTAAAACAAATATTTTCTATTTGATGCGAATTAAACTAGAATGCTCAATTTCTGTAGGAAGGACTGTAGTGAGTGTGGTCTGTGGCGTTTGTGCTCACCACGATGTGTGTGCTGTTGCGAATCGTAGCCCTTCTCTTTATCAAATGTATCGCAGCGTTTGCGCTACGACCACTTCACCTTTCATAATCCAGACATTATGGCAAGCAAAGGCTACAGTGTGCAAATAACCTTAGAGTGCTTCATACAAAAATAAAGGCATATAAGTTGACTTTATGGGTTTGCCAAGCTCGAAACCATGCCACGCAGTTCATAAACGAAACAGGGAATGCGACCGTGAATCAACACTAATAAGCGAGTTCTGCATTATTCATAGTTTTCGAATATTCGAAGAACTTGAATATTTCGAACAGCGAAAGTGTGAATCGAATCGAATGACAAGCATTATTGGCGAGGTATTTGAAGTTTCGAATATTCGCACACCCCTAATTAAGAAGTCTGCCTATGAAAAATAGACTAAGCGAATTGTATTGTTGTTCACTTCATAACTGCAAGACAAATAAACCATAACCTACCTGATGGCTGAACAAAGTGCAGCATTCATTTTCTCGTAGACCCCTGATTACATGCATTGCCCTCGATAGAAAAAAATATTTTAACTACAATATGGGCCTCTGTTTTCTTCTAGTCCTATTCTGTGTTGGTTTTGAGGTAGCCTGCACACTAAAGTAAAGTTCTAGTTTATGGTGAGTCACTGATCACACTTGCTCTAAATTGCTGCACGCCCATGAATTTCTTGAGTTCTCCAATTTCCAAGTTGGCGAACATTAGAAATGCAGAAATTGAGGGTATTGCATTAACCAGTTGAATGTCAGTAAAAAAAGACATCATTGAGTTGTTTTAACATGCCGAGTCTTCGCTTAGTCGTTGGCTTCCAAAGGGTGCCACACAAGGTGACGGTGTGTAACATGCAGGGACGCCCTGTGGCCCAATGGCTATCCGGCCGAGACGCAGCCCGAGAGAGACCTGAACACCATGATGCGAACGAGGGTGGCTGCCAAAACTATCATGTTGTGCAGTCTCACAGGTAATCTATGTCAGACATTGTTGTACTGAACATATTTCTTTCTTAATAACAACTTTGGTAAAACAGTTGTCTATTTAGCTCGTTGGATACATCTGTTTGTCCCCCTTTTTTTTTTCGGTTTGCCAGTCTCAAGTTTTGGTTGTCATAAATGGTCACCAGTTAGCTTGTTTTTTCTGTTTTTTTTTTATTACATCTGGATAGAATTTTCTGCGATTGTATTGAGTATAAATCAACTAAGCACCCTAAACAAATAATTTGATGTAGATTATTTTTGAGTATTAAATGGACTATAATTTCTACAGAATGTAGAATCTGGTTTAGAAAAAATACCTGCTCGAGAAGAACCTGTAATTCGTGATAATGAAAGTTGTACAAACCCAAAAAATTATTGCTGCTCTTCCACAGTGCACAGCGTGCATTGGGGGAGTTTTTTCTCGTCGTTTCCACACCAGCAACTTGAGGCTGGCCTCTGGTGTTGTTTTTGTAGAGGCCAAACCCTATCTTTGAGTGCAGTAGTGAGGACCTGAAGATGAGTTACAAGTGTGCATTTCGTACCTGTGGCAGCGTCAAAGCAGCCAGTTGAAACGTTTAAAACCTAATAAACTTGAAAAAAAAAAATTTTTATTATTTAATTTAGCAATTGACGAAGAGCCTACGAGGCTGGAAATGTTTTAACAAGCTGTTTTCATGCTGCCCCCTGTCCCTCAAATACCCAAGGGCAGCATTGTTTTTAATCAATTTCTCGCAAAAGCTTGCTTTTGTCGATCCAAGTGAACCATTTTTTGCACCGGTGTATGCTGCAGTGAGTGACCAGTACAGTACAATGGTGTTCATCATACAGCACTCTTTTACCGTGGTTTAGGCTATGTCACTATCGCTCGTGCAAAGCCTCAATGCCTTTTATCCTTCCATTTTTTTCTATCCTAGACGAACTAAAGCACATCATCGGAAGCGACACGACGCGGCGTGGCATGCTCTGCGTCTTCGAGATGTTTCAGCACGAAGAGCTGAACCGTAGGCTGACCTATGTCCTTCTGGAGGGCTTCCTGGCGACCCTGTTTCCCAGCAACCGGTTCCACGAGCTGTTCCGCACGATGCACGCCAAGTCGCCCACCATATCGACCGCTTCAGCGTCTTCCAACAATTCCGGCAAGGAGCCGCCAAGCTTTTCCGGAAGGCGCCCGGAGGTGCGGTGATCTACGTTCCATGGTGGATCGCGTGGCGTGGGACGTACACTGGAGATGTTGTAATTACGGCATCGTGTGCCCTGTACCGTCTTGTGTGACCCAAGCCGACCCAGAAGGTACCGTGTGTATGCCTGACAGTTAAAGGGTCCCTGAGGAGGTTTCTGAAATTGCCTAAATATGGCGATAACCCACTCTGGTGGCTCTAAGCACCTTAGGCACCCCTAAATCATGACGATATGCGACCAATTTCCCTACTGAAAAAGCAGTCAAAGATACCAACACATCGAGGCCATCTTGTGCAATGGGGGGAGCATGTTCTGAAACCAGGACCACTGTTGACCAATAGCAAGCGAAGGATCCGCGCGTCTTCGACCGGTGGATCCGCAGAGTGATATCTCGAATGCACGTGACTCGTGACCCGAACTCGGCGAGCTTTTTTTTGTTAGTCTTACTGTCGTAGCACACAAAGTCAATCATGTACCCTCAAAGCCATTGCTTCAGCGCACCATGGCTCTCACTGACCTGACGCCGATGAACCAACCTAACGAGCGCAGGCTGAAGAGCCGACCAGCAGACGACCAGACACGTCACTCCTGCAGAAGTGCACCGTTTTTTAAACGATTATTGCACTATCATATCCCCTCTCTGCAAATACTAACATTTGTCTCATACTCTAACGGTATTTGCTCTCATCATCTACAAAAGCGTACACATTTTATACTAACAGCTTTGGCAATCTCCATGAAATGTTGTGTTTTCATTGGTCACATGTCATCTTGGCTGCCGGACCGTGCTCCTCCCATTGTTTGTGATGACCTCGGTGTGTTGCAACCTTTATTGTTTTTTTTAATAGGGAAATCAGCCGTGCATGATTGTGATTTAGGAATTTCTAGGATGCTCAGAGCTCGCAGATAGTGTAATCGCCATATCTAGGTGATATCAGAAACCTCCTCTGGGCCACTTTAAGGCCATCTGGGAAGGTTGTCTTGTGTGATATCTTTGAAGGCAATGTTTGCCGCTCCTACGTCCTCTTGGTAAATGGCTTGCTGTTATTTTTATCTTGAGGATGGCATTTAAGATGCAGTTTAAATAAAACACCTTTTCAAGTAGACAACGCTAAAGTTTATACTCCGTGTGAGCAAATCAGGATTGAGGACAGACAAGCAGGGACCTGATGTAGGTAATTGTAATTTGCCTTCCAAATGTGACCGGATTTTCCTTGATGCGAGCCATGTTGCCCACAAACATGTGTGAGTATAGATTAAAAAAAAATGATATTGGTTAATTATGTTGAGATACCTGTGTGGTTCTAATCTCAGCAAACTTTAACGTATTGGTCTTTAGTTGTCACCTTGTCTTCTGGGCCTAGACTTGAGAATGGTTATAATTCTAAGTGAGATCTGTGAACACTTTGGTTGAGGAAAACGACCAGCATCTTAGAAATTCTCTCCCGACAGTACTTTTATCTCTGGGCGGTAGCACCTTAGGTGTGTGGTCCACAATGTGCTGCTAATTCTGTTTGCACTCTCAAAAAGTGTGTCTGGCAGTTGTAATGTCCAAACTCCAAGCCTCATTGAAATTTGGTAAAGAACAAACAATCATTACTCAAAATTGTGGCTCCATATTATGCTTGAATGAAACTTGTTCAGAAGTCTTGTTCCATCTCAGAATGCCGTCGACAAAGTAACGGGTCTTTGTGTGATTATGTTGGGCTCTGGTGCATTCATCTGGCAATGTGGGGGATGAGGATGGGGCTTGTCAGAGCCAGTACTGAATCCCCACCTGTCACATGCTGCACCCTTTGGTAAACACACACACACACAAAAAAAAATGTTTGCCTAAGAATAGCACGGGTTACAGACATGTTTTAGTTCACCAGACGTATTGACTATGTGAGAGCTTTAACTAAGGTTGTTGCACGGTATTATTCAAGATTTGCCTCATGTGATTAGGTTTCACAGTAGATTTATGTTTATGAAGTAAACTCTAATATAGTATTAATACTTTTCAGAGTTTGAGGTAAAGTTTGATTGCTCATAAAAGGTTCTTTTCACCATACCAAAGCCTATCTTTATTTTATTTATGATTAATAATATGATCAGCTGTAAACCAGTGAAATTCCTGTCTCCAACAGGTTTGCTTGCAGTTTTTCCAAGTGTTGTGTATATACATATATATATATATATAAAAAGCTCATTGCATGCTCTTTGGAGTGAAAGAGCATATAAAGTGCAATACCTTTTTTATCATTTTGCATTCTGCCGCACATTATCGCAACAGTGGTCACTCTTTAAGTGAAGCCAAAGTGCTTGTCTTTTGTCCTTGGAAGGAAGTCACTTTTGAAGCTTGGCATTTAGCCAATGATGTCCAGGGCAAGGCTATAACTCTTCAAATAAAAAAAATAAAAAAAAAAGATTAAATAGTGATTAGCAAGTCAGGTTCACTAGACTATTTGCTAATTAGTGCTATCCAAAGGATGTCTGCTTTCCGAGCAAGGCACCGTGGAGCAAGGGCAGTGCTCGTCCTTGTTGGAATGGCCACCCAAGCTGCATAATTGATGCAAAGATAACAAACTGACATGCTTTTTATCGAAACAGTATCGACCTGTATAGGGTCCCTTTTGTCGTTGCGCCGACCATTTTTGTGATAGCGTGCCTAGAGAAGTGATCCTGGTTTGTGCGAGTTTTTGTGCAGCCACAACTTGTACATAATGCTTCGTAACATTTTTTGTATTATGTGATGTGGAACTGTTGATTTCTTTTGTATAATTATCTTCTATGTAGCTTTTCACATTCCACTTTGCAGCCATGGCATTGCTAGCAAATGTACTTACATTTTTGTAAGGCCCTTTATCTATTAAAGGGGTACTCCGGCCGTTTTTTGAGCTACCTAAACAAATTGCACTTTCCGACTACCCGGACTTCAGTCGTCATGGTATGCTATTTATTTTCTCGAAATTCAAAATAGCAATTGAGAAAACCGTAAATGAAGATGCCGAAACTAGCATTCAAATTTTAGCGCGCTCTTCAGTTGTGTGACGTCACATATGGTACAGACTGCATCTAGTTTTAAACAGAGTATGTCGAGTGTTTTTTGCGTGCTTCTCAGTGAATCAGTTACCAAACATTCTTTTCCCACCCTCAGACGTCTTGTAATCAGTTGGGAACATGGCTTACTGGCCACTTTATACCATTGCGTTCGTCACACTTCAATGTTGCCAGTAGGGGTTCCCGGTTTAAGAAGCACGATGAAAACGAAATTCGAAAATTCAATAACTTCGCGAATTCTTTTTCTTTTCACACAATACTTGGGGAACTCGTAGAGCCATGTCTATCGGTCTGTTGAGCCAATTTTGAGGCAAATCAGCGACCATGAAAAAATCGCCGGAGTACCCTTTAAGTAACTGCAAATTGTAAAGAAGCTAGTAATGCTATTTCTTCAACTAGATATTTTTATTTGAAGGTTTTGTTTTGAAGATTATCGCCTAATAGTCCCAAATTGGCCACTTCTTTACATTAAAGCTAAGCTCTTTTTTTTTTCTCGATGAAATTGGTGTAGAATTATCTAGAGCATCGTCTTGGACACCACAGCCTCAACTGCAGATATATTTACTGTGTGCCTATATGTGGCTGTTCCATCCACACCTAGATCCCTTTGTGTGCATGCACCCTGTAAGATATGTTTCTAGTATTGTTGCCCTGCACCACTGGTGGTGTCGCATACGTAGGAACCAAGTTGAGATGTTTTTGTATGAATGGTGGAGGTGTGCGGCTCACATGTAAATATGGTGGCGAGAAAGGAGCAAGGCTGCAGCGACACCATAGGTAAGAACTAAAGACGAGAGAGCAAACTCACAACATGCCAGACACGAACCAACCTTTCAGGTTCCGTGCGCATTTTGGAACTAACGGGATCGGTCGAGAAAAGGAAACCCAGTTTTTGGGCTCGCGTATAAATAAACTTCGCATTGCAGAAGTCAAAGTGTGAAGCTAGTGGTGAGGATAAGAGCTAGAGTTTGAGAACATGGCGTTACCTGGATCAAAAGATGAGAGGGAAAGACGTAATTTCTCTGAGCCGACGTCCACCTAAGCCTAATTTCGTCAAGACGAAATAATGTGGGTGGCTGTTGCATTTATTTCAGTAAAATAATGTTGTTAGCAAGAAAGTTAACATTGTTTTCTTTCTTGATGACAAGTTTGTTTCGCTGAAATAAATGCCTCTGGCGCCCACAATATTATTTCTTGTTTTGACGAAATTAGGCTGGGGAGGACGTTGGCTCATAGAGGGGCTTCACCCTTCCCGTTCATCTTTTGATTCAGGTAAATATCATGTTCTCGAACTTTAGCACCGTATCCCCACCACTAGCTTCACATTCTGACAGGGTGTCAGCTTTCTGCAATGCATATTTTATTTATGCCGGACGAAAAACCTGGTTTCTTTTTGTCGATCAAACCCAGTAGATTGACTGGGCACAGCTTCTTCCGGAGTTTCCACATTTTGTTGGCCCTTTGGACTTTTTTTGTTATGTGATATATTTTGTTGTCTCGAAATATTGGCCCCTTTTGAGAGTCCAAGCCAGTAGTTTTTAATGAGAAACTGATTAAAAATACTTTTGTTGTATTGTATTCTGGTACGTAACGCACGTGGCATTTACGTGACAACCAAACTTCAAAATACGTCAAATTTAAACTTTTTTTTTTTTAGCCAATAAATTGGTTTCAAACCAGGAACGTGCATGTATTCTTTTACGAGTCTGGTGCAAAGAGGGCGAACAGAGTACTTGATCGAGGCAGAAGAAGCACTTAGTGTAAGAGAGGTTCTTTTAAAAATCGTATTAGTGCTGTCTTTTTTTTTTTTTTTTAAATCTTGTTCTTGTGTATTGGATTTACCTCGCATTGGACGTGAACTCGATCCTCTCGATGACTTTTAATGTACCACTATGAACTAGTGACTCTAGTATGAATCATACTACTGCCATGGATCGTCCAAGCGTCGTCTAGGAGACAACACACGCTCGTTCTGCTTAGAATGGTAATACAAGTCAAATCTAACGTTAATGCTGCCATATCTGCTTTTCGTTAATGCCACTCTTGGGCTCACCTTGAGCCACCAAATGAGCTACGCTTTGAGTATCGGCACATCATTCCCCGATTTTTTATGTAAGCCGCCATTCGCAATCCCTGTCCCTGAGCTGTAGATGGGCGACAGGAAGCTCAGGCGATATCGTTTTGCTCTGGCACGGACCGTAAAGCTTCATATGACTGGCAACAATGATCTCAAGCACCAAGATGCACCACCTAGGTTAGGTGGCGCAAACTACCGGCCATTATAAAGAGTATAGAGCGTCCATCCCATCCATTCACTGCTGAAGTACCGTTACTCAGAAGCGTAGCGCGAAGCTAGGATTTTAATAGATTATTCCGATAACGATACAATGCATACTCAAGAGCGGCGGTGGAGTGTCGGGTATCGGATTCGTTACTACAGCCATCGAGACGATCTACTAAAACTCTCAAGTGGCTCTAGGCTCACCGTAACAGATATACATGTTTGGATGGCGACATTGTTTAATTAACTCCAACCACGACGTTTCATCGAACAATATCTGGAATACTGGCGTTCTTCGTTAATTAGGACAAAGACATCCCCTGTGTGGTAAGGCTGTGGGGGGAGCGCGGTTTAAACAGATAAAATTATTTAAAAAAAATTACCAGTCATCCTGCGCTAGCATCGGTGACCTATTTTACCGGGCTACTCTAGCGGCGGGACAAACGACTAACACATGACAAAGGATAAATGAAGTAAGCAGGAAAAACCGCTCGCCTCGAAGAGGTGTTGCTGCGGTGGGCGGCAGAGGAAGCTCACCGTGAAAGCATTGGGGAGAACAACTTGCCTATGAGTGTGATGTGAACGATTTCAAATGTGATCTTCGTAGCTGTTCAAAATGTCCATCTGCTCCCTCATGATCACAACCTGTCGTTAGACCGCGCACACCAGGATCAAAATTTAACGACATAAATATTGTCATAGTGTCCCTGTTGACTCATAAAGCAAACGGTTTACCCACTGCTGAAGGAAGAACGCTCAAACTACGTTGTTCTCGAGATGTTTTTCGATGCGCACCAGAGGAGATAACCGAAAATCGATATTTAAAAAAAAAAAAAAAAAAAATGAAAGTCGCAAAATTAGTAGAATATTTTAGTAAATATTCCGCCTCGAAACCGGAAAACCCTAGCAATGTCGTTTGAACGTCACAGTTAGGGTGGCATTTCAATTTCCTTTCTTTTTTTGTGTAACTCTGCTAAGAATTTCTCGCTCCTTCCTCATTGGTTGAAAGTGGCATAGTTGAACAGTAGTATCCGAAGGCATCTGCTGGCATACAGCTGCTTTCTCTAGCAATCGGCAACTCCTTTTGATCATCATTAATCTTACCAATAAGGGAACGACAAAGTTTTTGCTAAACGGTTGCGATTATGCTCAAAATTTATCGGATAACGAACGAATTCGATAGCAGTGTTGGATCCAGGATCCTGGTCTCTAAAAAAAAACATATTGAGCTTCTTTAGTTTTACAAAAAAGTATAGCTGAGCCCGGTTAGCTCTATTCCGGTGAGCTTTGCTCCGGGATTCGGTTAGGTGACGTACATTCTTCGGGGCGAGTGGGTTGACGACACTCAACTTGTTCCTGTATTTTTTTTAAAGCGCAGCTCTTTGGCGCCCGTTTCCGGCTTGAGCGGCGACGCCGTCGCCGTCGGCGTAACCGCGCGGTGCATTATGGGTAAATTTCCTCGCTAAATCTAGCGTAAAAATTTCCCCGCTAAATCTAGCGGAAAAATTTCCCTGCTAAATCTAGCGGAAAAAATTTCCCCGCTAAATCTAGCGGAAAAATTTCCCCGCTAAATCTAGCGGGGAAATTTTGGTCACGTGATATCGTAGGGGGCACGTGACTCCCCCACGTGACCCCGCCAAGGTCACGTGACCCCCCCCCCCCCCCCCGAGAACACGTGGCCCTCAGTACCCTTACCTCCTCCTC